TGCTGGTGCTGAGGACCCGGGCGTTGGAGCTGCTACTGGTACTACGGACCTGGGCGCTGGTGCTGCGGCTGGTGCTGAGGACCCGGGCGTTGGAGCTGCTACTGGTATTGCGGACCCGGGCGTTGGAGCTGCTGCAGGTGCTGCGGACCCGGGTGCTGGTGTTGTGGAGTCGGGCGTTGGAGCTGCTGCTGGTACTGGTGCTGCCGCTGGGGGTGCTGGTGCTGTCCCTGCTGTGTCTGGAGTCGCCGCGCGGCCTCGGCCGTACTTCGTACCGCTCCTTCAGCAGGTTCTTGGTCTCTCGCCTCCTCCTGGTCCTCCTCCCTTAGCGTGTCCACAGCCTGTCCCGTCACAGTTACAGTTGCAGCCGGCCTCCCCACTACCTGCTCCTTCTCCCTACGCTGGTCCTACTGGAGGTCTTACTGAGCGTCGTGAGCCTGCGTCTCGCCCTGCGTCGCCTGTCCGTCCTACTAGCGCTAGTGGTCGTGGTTCGCGTCAGCGCCCTCCTCCTGTCCCTGGCACGCACCGGATGTCTCTTCGTCCGTCCACTGCTCCTCTGCGTGCCTCTTTACCTTCTCCTCCTGAGTCTTCTCTTCCTGCTCTTGCCGACTCGGAGTCGGACTCTCTTCGTGCTGCCAGTCCTACTGTCACGCGTCTCCTTGAATCTGTCGTCACTGACCCTTCCTTTGAGTCCACTGCTGCGTCTGCCCTAGTTGCTGAGCTTGTCGACTTTGCTGCTCGCTGTCGTCTAGACTACGCTTCTAGTCTCGTCGCTGAGTCTGAGTCTGTCTGTCCTCCGTCCGTCGGGGGTGAGTGTGCCCTTGGCACGGACGTCCTTGAGGACAGGCAAGAGGAGTTCAAGTGCTTGGACGCTGCTTCACCTCATCTCGTGTCCGTACTGCTTACCCCTGAGGGAGACCCGGATGCACTTGACATCCCGACTCCGCGCTCTTACGCGGAGGCGATAGAGGGTCCCTACTCCTCTCAGTGGCAGGCAGCTATGGATGCAGAGATGGCTTCCTGGAAGTCCACAGGCACCTACGTTGACGCTGTCCCCCCTCCTGGGGCGAACATCGTCAGTGGCATGTGGATCTTCAGGGTGAAGCGACCGCCGAGTTCTCCGCCTGTCTTCAAGGCGCGTTACGTGGCTCGTGGCTTCAGTCAGCGGCAGGGAGTTGACTACTTTCAGACCTTCTCCCCCACCCCGAACATGACCACTCTTCGGGTACTGCTGCACGTTGCTGCTCACCGTGACTACGAGCTGCACTCTCTCGACTTCAGCACAGCTTTCTTGCAGGGCAGCCTGCACGAGGAGATCTGGCTGCGCCGCCCACCTGGCTTTACTGGGTCTATCCCTCCTGGCACCTAGTGGAGTCTCCAGCGTCTAGTCTACGGTCTCCGCCAGGCGCCACGTGAGTGGCACGACACACTGAGGACTACGCTTGCGGCTCTTGGGTTTGCTCCTTCTACTGCCGACCCGTCGCTGTTTCTGTGCACCGACACCTCTCTGCCGCCGCTCTACATCCTCGTGTACGTCGACGACTTGGTCTTTGCCACAGCTGACAGAGCTGGACTCGCCTACGTGAAGTCCAAGCTGCAGAAGAGACACACGTGCACTGACTTGGGTGAACTGCGCAGCTACCTTGGCTTGCAGATCACCCGGGACAGATCACGACGCACCATTACCCTGACTCAGTCACACATGGTGCAGCAGGTCCTTCAACGCTTCGGCTTCACGTACTCCTCGCCTCAGGCCACTCCTCTGCCTACTCGCCACTCACTCTCAGCTCTGCCTTCGGATGAGTCCGTAGAGTCGAGTGGCCCGTATCCAGAGCTTGTTGGCTGCCTCATGTACCTGATGACCTGCACACGACCTGACCTTGCATACCCTCTTAGCATTCTTGCACGCTATGTTGCTCCTGGGAGACACCGACTAGAGCACATGGCTGCAACGAAGAGGGTGTTGCGCTACCTGTGCAGTACGTCGGGCATGGGGCTAGTGCTTGGACGGCGGAGTCCAGTGGTCCTCACTGGGCACGCGGACGCTTCTTGGGCTGACGACCAGGCTACGCAGCGGTCGTCACAGGGTTACACCTTCAGCCTTGGTTCCGGCTCTGTTTCGTGGCGGGCTACTCGCTCGTCTTCTGTTCTCGGCTCCAGTTGTGAGGCTGAGATCTACGTCGGGGCCATGGCTGCACAGGAGCTTCGCTGGCTCACCTACCTGCTGACCGACCTTGGAGAGCAGCCTCGTTCTCCTCCAGTCGTGTACGTAGACAACAAGGCCATGCTGGCCTTGTGTCGAGAGTAGAGACTGGAGCACAGAACAAAGCACATTGCTCTTCGCTACTTCCTTGCTCGTGAGCTACAGCAGCGTAGACAGTTGCGACTTGCTTACGTGGCCTCTGAGGCCAACACTGCTGATGTCTTCACCAAGGCACTTGCGCCTTGTGATCATCAGCGCTTCTGCACTCAGCTGGGTCTTGTGCCTGTCTTACCTCACTTGCTCACCTCTTGACCTTACTTGTACTGTCACATATATATTTGCCTGCTCTTGCTTGTCTAGCTTTATATATATGTGTACACTTGCATGTGAACTGGCCTTGTGGCCTTGACCTTGTGCCCAGACTGTGTGGTGACTTTGAGATCCACCCTGAGCTTGCTTTGCTTTGCTTTGTTTTGCTGGACTGGTCTTGTGACCCCTTGTTCTCCCCCACTTTGCCTATGGGGGTGTGTTAGAATGTTATATAGCTTATACATTTGTGTAGGCTGTAGTGGGGTATCCCATAGGGGGTACAACCCAATTAGGGTTAGTACTTGTACTCACTCCTTTCATAGTTCAATCATTCCAGTTCATTAATTTCAACACACCGCGTAAACGTCAGCTCCAGCGGCGACAACCCGTTTTATCGTGATGGCGTTGATGTGGACCGTTGAAGACTCGGGCGACTGCCAACGAGGTAGCTCAACCCAGTTACCGCTATTTCGCACAGTGCAGCTACCTGTCGTCCAGTCGATTCGTGGGTTGTACCGTCGCTGCCAATCACATCCCAGTAAAATGTCGTGCTCATCCAATGTCGTCGCGAGCATTTCCTGTATAAACTCGAAGTTTCCCCCGCAACTGACTTTTACTCTCTCCACTCTCTCCCGTATGGCCAGTGGTGTGCCGTCAACTAAGCGTGCATCTATGTCTGGTAAACACCGACTAAGCGTCAGTTGCTGTTTTCGTGGGGCTGCGGTATTAAGTAAACTGCGACTTGCTCCTCCGTCGATAAAAACCTTCACTGCTGCTTCCTGTATTTTACTGTGAATCAGTAATGGGCAATCCGTCGCTATACCCTCCTATTCATCAGAGCCCTATCAATGGCGTGAATCGGCACTGGGACTCGGTGAGGGTCGGTGCGGTTGGGCGAGCAGGCAGTCTTGTCAGTAGTTGGCACAACTGCTACTGACTGCTGGCGTTTCCCTGTCCCTGAGACACGTGGGTGAATGTTGTTGCCATAACTTTCCGGCCGGAGGCACGGAGGGGCGGAAAGTGCTTGCAATTAGCACTGAAGTTTCCTAGAAAGCGCAGGGTCGCTAGTAGTACCTTCGCCAAAGCTACTTACGATATCTTTCTCGATGTTCATGACCAGTTGGTAGAGGAGATTTAGGTTTGTAGGGTCCTTAGGCGTGGGGATGAGTCATTAGTATGCTCCTTCTATACATTAGGGCAACTATTGAAATTGTCCTGTAGGTTTGTAGGGTCCTTAGGCGTGGGGATGAGTCATTAGTATGCTCCTTCTATACATTAGGGCAACTATTGAAATTGTCCTGCACTCGTGCGTGAAAAAAAACAGGCATCTTCGTGAAATCCAGGGCCAATGGTGCTGGTCATCATGGGGAATTCGACAGCCCTGTTCCGTGGTGTACTTCCGGTAATGTACGCCCCAGCTGGTAGGTACATCCAATTATTCGTTTATCTTACTAAGCGCGTTTCGGTCGGAGGTGCTTGTCATTTTTGCTCGGTGCTTTTAACGTCTGCGAGTCACATTTCCCTGCGTATTGCCATCCCTTGCTCCCAAAATGTGGCTATAAATATGTTTCTGCAACTGTAGGCCGGCCTGACCTAATCATAACTAATAAATTTGGCCTCGTCTTTAGCGCGAATGCGTGTTACTGTAGTTCTCTGCCAGTAATTTTCTTCAACGGTTAGCAATTTAATGCTGAACTGATCACGCGTGATAACCGATTCTATGTGACATAAACGCATCTCTCCCAACCTTCTATGTGAACGTACCAATCAGGTTACACAATCGCGTGTGCATCAAACGAATATGTAGGTGTACACCTGTGCAGTAGTAGCCGCCATTGGCGGTCATCCGTACGTCGGAGTCTCATACACCGCATAATTGCCTCCTTTAGGTTACGGGTTACCGAGTTGAGAAGGGAACACTTCGCAAATCGTCGGAGTAATTTTTGCCACACGGAAGTGCTGAACTCGCGAGGACAATGGGAGTGACATTCTCGCACACACTTTTTCTTTGAAGCCGAAATTCTTTGCGAATTTCGTCACGGGTTGCATTCCAGATCTGGTAACTCCAGAAATAGTACATTCTTGTTCCACAAGACGTTTCTTCAAATTTCAACACCACTTTGGTTCGCCAGCTGATTCTTTTGCCCCAACCAACCTTCCTACCTGCATTCCTTGCCACACAATAAGTAGCAGTAGTCGAACCTCTGTCAGATACAGAAAGTCACCGTACCTGCGGCAATTTCCTACCGGCTTTGCCGAATCAGTTCGCTGATATATAATGCGTGATAGGTGTTGAAAGAATCTAGAACAGCCTCACACACTTTTCTCGCCTTCACGACGCTCCGTAATCTTGCTCTCCGCGACAGTCTGAGCCGTTGTAAAATAAGAGAGACGCACATCTTCTCAATTTATCACTACGGGCCTCTGACAAACGTCTATACTCAGAGGTGTCCTCGCGAAGTCCTATCGTGGGACGTATAACTCACCGCCAATGGCGGCTACTACTGCACAGGTCATCGGCTGCTTCTCACCTGAAGCTCCACCTTCGCTGCTCCGTTCTATCTTCGTCGCGGGTGAGCGTCGCAGAGGCGGCGTTTCTCACCTGATTCGTTCGCTCGTATGAACTCCGCTGGTGGTGGCCTCCCTCGTTTAAGTGTGCAGTGTGAATGCAATAGTAAAACTGCAGTGCAACCCGTCATACTCTGCGTCTCTTCTATACACGTCCTCGTTGGAATCCTTTTTCAAGTCTCTCTCCCCTCGCTGCTCCTCTTCACACAATGCCTACACCTGTCAGCTGTGGTGCTGTCCGTTGGATGCATGATTAGCCCTACCCGGGCTCTCCAGAGCATCACCATCAGCTCCAGATACTGTGAGTCCGCCATTACTCGCTACAAACAACCCCGGGACTCGTTATAGCTCCTCATGGAACAACGATGAGCGCACAGGCGTTACGCCATGTCTGGCTGCTATGGTGGTTCTCCGTTGCGAAAGCTCCTCACGACCATCCCGCTTCTCCCGTTCGCTGTTACCTTTTAAAATTTCTCACTCTCCACCCCACCCCGCTTCGTTGTCCTCACTCAACACGAGCACGTGGCGTGCCTACCCAGCCCCCCTCCCCCCTCTTCCGCCCCCCTCACACACACGCGCCCCCACACAGACACCCACGCACACATCGCTCACCTGAATATTCTGTACCTTGTGCAGACTATGTTTCGTCCAAGACAAAGGGTGTTTCCCCTTCACCCTACACTGGCTCCTTTCAAGTTTCTGTCAAGATGTAAGCCTCACACCTTTGCTGCTTGTTCCTATCAGTTGCATGCACTCGCACATTACCACGAGATCAAGACACCATGTGAACTGCCTGTGCCTGTCGATTACTGTTGGGTGTTGCAATGCCTCAAGAAACATGATGATTGAGTTTTTTCTCTCCCTTCCCCACTCGTTCCCCCTGATCTCCCCGGCACCCCCTCCCCTGGAATGCATCCATACTCCCTTGTGCTGTTTCCAGGACTGAATTCACTCAGCTGGTGGGATACACTCTTCGCGTGTTTGCCCTGCCCCACAAACCCAAAGCCATCTTTTCCGATGTCAGGATTTTCAAGGGGAAGGAGAGCGCCACGGGTCCTTTAGTGACGTCCTTCCCCTGCAGGATGCACACTGTGGGGACTGGATATGTCTGCTTTGGCGAAGCCCGTAAGACCCTGGATAAATCATGGACTCCCAGGCTCAAAGCAGCCGATCTGATCAAAGCTGGCGTATATGACACCCCTGGGAACTTCTATGTTAATGTGACATATAGTGGCGCTACCACTGCCTCTGGCGGATCTATTGGCACCATTAGGGGACAGTTAGTGGGCTGATCATTGGGTTAGGGTACATTCCTGCCTTGACACTTGTGTCTCAATGCCTGGTTTCCCGAGTCGCGCCTGTAAATTTGCCTATCTACGCGTCACAAAAAAAAGGATGTACAGCGACATCGAGCGGCTCAGAGTGTTGTACCCCTGTCGACTTGCAATTGGACCCGCACCTTTTGAAGCGAGCGCTCTCATTTTGGCGCCGGGCAGGCAGGTTAAACCAGGGGTTCCAAACGATGATGGGGCGAGTTGGCGAAGCCACCAACCACCACAGAGCCACAATGCACTTACAACTACAACTACAAACATAAAAACGCAAAGCATGCACAGCATGGCCCCCACTCAAATCAGCCATGGCAGAACCCAGGGCTGTTCCCTTCCTCATGCGACTCCTAGTCGCATGGATCTCGTTCTACTACGGCATCTTCATGGACGCGGTCGCCAAGAGGGTAGCCGGCTTGCTAGAGTCGCAACTCTTCGACGACGAGAACACGTCTACCGCGACCTCTCACAGCACCACCAGGTTCGCCGAGCGTACAAGGAGAGGCAGCTTGAGGCGCCGGCGTTACGCGCTGCTGCTCGAGGACCTGCGGGGAATGGGAGACGGGGAGTTTGGCCTAAGTCTTCCTACCTTACACGGCGTCGCCGCGAACCCACACTTCCTCGGCCTCGTCCGGAGTAGCTTCGCCACCGCCGTGATCACCGCGGCGGAACCAGACTCCGTCGTCGCCTTCGGCGGCGGCCGATGCGGGCTGTGTGGCGGCATCCGCGGGGGCTCCGTTGACGGTTGGTGGCGGAGGGGCCGGCGATTGGTTGCGGGCGCGTGCAATCTCGGCGTCCTGCTGCATCCAGGCGCGGACGAGCCCCTCCACCTTTGCCATCGCATCCGCGTGGCAATCCTTGATGGTGTCGGAGACAAGTTTTGCCGCGGCCATGGTAGCCGTCTCCGCTATTCACGGGCGCTTGGAGGGAGGCGTCACCGGAGGGGGGGCTGCACGTTCACATGTTACAGTAGGCCCGAATGAGTTTGCTGTGATGTTGTGCCGTATGACACCAAGGTTAAATGACAATCATGTTGCACATCTATGCGTACCAACAAACAAAGCGAACACGCCCAAAGCAACGGAAAATGGCTCACCCGTGAACGTGGGCGTTGAGGTGCATGGCGCGGACGTCGACGGCACCGCGAAACCGCACGGCGCATTCACGTGTGTGGCACCACCGGCGGCGACGGCGTGCGGCGCCGCGACTGCACGGTTATTCTGAAATAACACCATGTACGGCCACCATGGCGGCTTACACACCACCCCGTTGCCGGACGCCTTGTCCCCCTTCTGCAGCTGCTTGTACATTTGGACGAGGTTGCGCCACTGTTTCTGCACGGCGTTAACGCCGCAGGCCCATCCGGTATTTTCGGTCTCGATGTGGCGCACGAGGCGGGCCCAATACTGGGATCCCTGCTTCCCCAGAAGCGGCTCCAGCTCATCCTTCATGAACCAGAGGGCGGCCACGAGAATCGTGCTCTCCGTGGGCGACCAGACACTGCGCTTCACCAGCATGGGCTCCCGGGTCTTTGGCGCGCGTCGATGTGGCTCCCCGCCAACAGTGGCGCTCTTGTCCCCCGGTGCCGCCTTACCATGATCGCGGCGAACAGGCGGAGTTGCGGGCTGCGATTCTTCCGGTGCGTCGTCGTCGTCGCTCTCCGCGTCGGAGTCGGACATGCCCTTGTCAGGCTCTTCTCCGGAGTCCGCGTCGTCGTCCGTGCCGTATGCCTCCTCGTTGTAGTCTGCATCGTCCTCGTCTTCGTCGTACGTGGTAGCCTCGGGACTGCGCGAAGAAGCCGCACGGTCGGCGTTACGGCGCCCGCGCGTCGGGACGTCACGGGGGGCCTGGTAAGAGGTGTCGCCACGCGAAGGAGTGTCCACTGGCTGCGGGCCGGTCGGCTTGCGCCCAGAGGACAGCTACTTGTGCATCCAAGAAATATACGGGATCTCATTGAGATCCCTCGGGGTCACGTTGGCGGCTTCAGCGGCGCTCTTGCGCTTACGAGCCATGGCGTTGAGAGGGCTACTGAGCTTGCGGGTCCCAGAAACAAGAAACACAGAATGGACTACCAAGAAGATGGAATCAAAGTCATCCTTGAAGCAGGTTGGAGAGGAGGCTCTAGATCTGTGGTGGTTTCGTCGGGCAGCCTTGAGTGTATCACAAAAAATGGTAACCCCTTTCGATGCTGCCCAGGGATGGCGGGTTTGTTTCCCGCGCTAAGCTGTCAAGGGGTCCAGCGTCCAGGTGCATGCGGCACGGCAGTGGAATTGCTTGACATTGATCGTGCGTGCGATTTCACGGCGGTGACGGGGCCTCGTCCAACTCGTCCGCGACACCGGCGCAAATGACGCTGACCAGTGTAAAATAGGGTTACATTCGCATTAGGGCGACACGCGTTTGTGACATAGCACGTTCTATGCTGTTTTTGAGCGTCGCAATACATTTGAGACACAAGTGTCAATGCAGGAATGTACCCTTAGTGTTTGTGCAGGCTAAACAAGCAAGAGCAGGTATATATATATGTAAGAGTACAAGCAAGGTCAAGGGGTGAGCAAGTGAGGCAAGACAAGCACAAGACCCAGCTGAGTGCAGAAGCGCTGATGATCACAAGGCGGAAGTGCCTTGGTGAAAACATCAGCAGTGTTGGCCTCAGAGACCACGTACGCAAGTCGCAACTGACCACGCTGCTGCAACTCACGAGCAAGAAAGTAGCGGAGGTCAGGAAAGAGGTACGGTAGCATGAGGCGGCTCAGTGCAGCAGTGGCAGGGGAAGAGTAGCGTGCAACTACAGCGCCGTACAAGGTCTGAGCACTCTTGTACTGACTAAAGTGCGCGCGCTCAGTGGTAGGCAGGTGGCGACGCACAGCAAGACGTGCAGCAGCATCGCGCGTGGCCCACTGGGAGTGAACAGTGGGGTCAGTATCAGCAGTAGGGGCAGGAGAGGAGCCAGAGGTGAGGTCAAAGAGGGAGAGACCGTCTGCCCTATCGCACTGTAGGAAAAGCTGCAGGTCATCTACCCAAACCTCAAAGTCAATGGCTCGACCCTCAGCGTCAAAAGCGAGAACACTGGGGGTAGCCATGACAGCAGTAGACTAGCAGTACCAACTGTAGGACAGGGGCAGTGCAGTGACAGAAGCGCTGCTCTCACCAGACAGGGCGGGTCGGGCAGCTCAGCAGTACAGCAGCACGGCAAAACGGCTGCTCGGACGGCATAGCAGCAACTGCGGCTCCGTGGCACCAGCGGCTCGGCTCCTCAGGCGGCTCGGGCGGCTCAGGCGGCTCGGGTGGCTCGGGCGGCTCGGGCGGCTCCGGTGGCTCGGGCTGGTCGGGCGGCTCGGGCGGCTCGGGAGAGTCGGGCGGCTCGGGCGGCTCGGGCGGCTCGGGCAGGTCGGGCGGCTCGGGCGGCTCGGGCGGTTCTCGGGCGGCGCGGGCGGTGTAGGGCGGCAAGGCCGCTGGTGAAAGGGGCGGCGGGGCCGCAAAGAAGGGCGGCGGGGCCCCTGAGAAGGGCGGCGGGGCCGCAGTAGAAGGGCGGCGGGGCCGCTGAGTAGGGCGGCGGGGCCGCTGAGAAGGGCGGCGGGGCCGCAGTAGAAGGGCGGCGGGGCCGCTGAGTAGGGCGGCGGGGCCGCAGTGAAGGGCGGCGGGGCCGCTGAGTAGGGCGGCGGGGCCGCAGCGAGAGAGGCGGCGGGGCCGCAGTGAAGGGCGGCGGGGCCGCTGAGACGGGCGGCGGGGCCGCTGAGACGGGCGGCGGGGCCGTAGCGAAGGGCGGCGGGGCCGCAACGTGAGGCAGCGGGGCCGCAGCGAAGGGCGGCAAGGCCGCGAAGAAGGGCGGCGGGGCCGCTGAGACGGGCGGCGGGGCCGCAGCGAACGGCGGCGGGGCCGCAGCGAGGGGCGGCGCGCCCGCAGCGAAGGGCGGCAGGGCCGCGAAGAAGGGCGGCGGGGCCGCAATGTGGGGCGGCGGGGCCGCAGCGAAGGGCGGCGGGGCCGCTGAGAAGGGCGGCGGGGCCGCTGAGAAGGGCGGCTCGAAGAGGTGAGAGCCCGGAGCGCGACTCGGGCTGAGCGCGCTTCGGGCAGGAAAAAAAAAATATCGATGTGGTGGGCCCTAGGCACAGTTCCCACGGGGGAACCTGCTCGATACCATGAGGAAAGTAGAACGAGAATGATTGACTAAGGAATGGAAGTGATACAAATATGCAACCCTAGAAATGTGTACCCCATATGGGCTACCCCACTATAGCCTACACAATATTATAGTTTGACAAAGGAAGCGAACGACGGGATGGGAGGGGAGATGAGGCGAACGACGGGATGGGAGGGGAGAGGAGGCGAACGACGGGATGTGAGGGGAGAGGAGGCGAACGACGGGATGGGAGGGGAGAGGAGGCGAACGACGCGATGGGAGGGGAGAGGAGGCGAACGACGGGATGGGAGGGGAAAGGAAGCGAACGACGGGATGGGAGGGGAGAGGAGGCGAACGACGGGATGGGAGAGGAAAGGAGGCGAACGACGGGATGGGAGGGGAGATGAGGCGAACGACGGGATGGGAGGGGAGAGGAGGCGAACGACAGGATGGGAGGGGAGAGGAGGGGAACGACGGGATGGGAGGGGAAAGGAAGCGAACGACGGGATGGGAGGGGAGAGGAGGCGAACGACGGGATGGGAGGGGAAAGGAAGCGAACGACGGGATGGGAAGGAAAAGGAAGCGAACGACGGAATGGGAGGGGAGAGGAGGCGACGGGAGAGATAGCGAGTCGACGGGGGAACGTGAGCGCGATGGCCAGGGGAGGGGGGAACGTGAGCGCGATGGCCAGGGGAGGGGGGAAAATGAGCGCGATGGCCAGGGGAGGGGGGAACGTGAGCGCGATGGCCAGGGAAGGGGGGAACGTGAGCGCGATACCGATGGGAGGGGGGAACGTGAGCGCGATGGCCAGGGAAGGGGGGAACGTGAGCGCGATGCCGATGGGAGGGGAGGACGTGAGCGATAGGAGATGAAGTGGACGGGATGGGAGGGGAGATTGTGCAAAGACGAGGGGAGAGAGAGCGCGAAGGCGATGGGAGAGAGAGCGCAAAGGCAACGGGAGAGAGAGCGCAAAGGCGACGGGAGAGAGAGCGCAAAGGCGACGGGAGAGAGAGTGCGGAGGCAACGGGAGAGAGAGCGCGTTAGGCGACGGGAGAGAGCGCGAAGGCGACGGGAGAGAGAGCGCGGAGGCGACGGGTGAGAGAGCGCGAAGGCGACGGGAGAGAGAGCGCGGAGGCGACGGGTGAGTGTCAAACATTATATATGTTGTGTTAGTTAAGGCTACAGTGGATTAGCCTATAGGGGGTACACAATTCTAGGGTTAGGTACTTGTACTCATTTCACTGCTAGTTCATCCATTCCTGTTCAGTGATTCCAACATGGTATAGAGCAGGTCCTTCCTAGGACCAAAATTTTCTAAGGGCCCACCACTACGTAACTACCTACCTACCTACCTACCTGTGCCCTAGGGCGCCTCGGCGTGTCACGCCCCTAGAGGCCCCTCTTGACGGCCCCGCGCTAGCCCCGTTCAAGCCCCGTCGGCCCCACGCCCGCTCTCCCTAGCGGCCCCGTTCAGGCCCCGTCGGCCCCTTTAAGGCCCCGTTCAGGCCCCGCGCTAGCCCCGTTCAGGCCCCGTCGGCCCCGTTTCAGGCCCCGTCGGCCCCGTGCTAGCCCCTCTCAGGCCCTGTCGGCCCGCGCTAGCCCCGTTTCAGGCCCCGTCGGCCCCGTTTCAGGCCCCGTCGGCCCCGCGCTAGCCCCTCTCAGGCCCCGTCGGCCCGCGCTAGCCCCGTTTCAAGCCCCGTTGGCCCCGTTTCAGGCCCCGTCGGCCCCGCGCTAGCCCCTCTCAGGCCCCGTCGGCCCGCGCTAGCCCCGTTTCAGGCCCCGTCGGCCCCGCGCTAGCCCCTCTCAGGCCCCGTCGGCCCCGCGCTAGCCCCATTCAGGCCCCGATCGGGCCCGCGCTGGCCCCGTTTCAGGCCCCGTCGGCCCCGTTTCAGGCACCGTCGGCCCCGCGCTTGCCCCGTTCAGGCCCCGTTGGCCCCTTGCTAGCCCCGTCAAGGCCCCGTTTGGCCCCGCGCTAGCCCTGCTCAGGCCCCGATCGGCCCCACGCTCGCCCCTCTAGGGCCCCAACCGGCCCCGTGCCGACCTCGCCGACCCGTGCCCACCACCTAGAGGCCCCGGGCGGCCCGTTCCCGCCGCAGCACACGAGGGAGAGCGGGCGGCCCGTCCCCGCCGTGACCCGAGCCGCGCGACCCGAGCCGCGCGCCCCGAGCCGAGCCGCGCGCCCCGAGCCGAGCCACGGGCCCTGAACCGAGCCGCGCCACCCAGCCGAGCCGCGACCCGACCTGAATCGAGCCGCACCGCCCTGCCCTACCTGGTTCGTCCTACCTGCTTCTCCTACTGCTACTGCTGCTAATTCTACTATTCCTATGGCTAGCCCACAGGTTCTCGTGTTCGATGCTGAGGGCCGCCCTGTGAAGTTTGACACCTGGCTCGATGACCTGCACCTCTACCTACAGCTCACAGCCAAGGATGACATCTCACTGTACGATCACGCCCTAGGCCATGTCACTGCCCCTGCTGCTACTGCTGACAACACTGCTCGCTCACAATGGCAGACTCGTGATGCCCACGCTCGCTTCGCCATTCGCAACTCCCTGCCGATAGACGAACGCGAGCACTTTGGTCAGCACAAGACTGCACAGGCACTGTACACAGCTGTAGTTGCTCGCTACTCCTCACCTGCCTCTGCCGCACTAGGCCGTCTCTCCCTCCCCTACCTGTTTCCTGACCTGGCCTCCTTTCACACAGTCGCTGACCTCATCACGCACCTCCGTACTAGTGAGGCCCGCTTCCGTGCCGCCATGCCTGCTGAGTTCCTTGCCACGCACCCCCCTCCACTCTGGCTCACTCTCTACCACCTAGTCACCCGCCTCCCTGACACACTGCGTGCTGTCAGGGACCACTTCCTAGCTCGTTGCCCCACTAAGCTCACCATTGCCCTCCTCGAGAAGGAGCTACTTGCAGCTGAGACTAGAATAGTCGCTGTAGGTGCCTCTCGTGGCGACCCCCGTACCCCGTTCTTTGAGGGGTGTTCTCCTTCCCCCCTTCTTCCCTCTGTCGCCTCTGCTGCTGCTGTCGACCTTCTTGGTACTGAGAAGGTCGGCGCTGCGTCTGCCTCGAGCGGACGCCGCAGCGGCAAGGGCAAAGGGGGCAAGGGTGGTGGCGGTGACGGCGGGGGAGGCGGCGGTGGGGGCGGTGGAGGCAGTGGGGGTGGTGGCTCGGCTGGAGGGGCGAGTGGTAGCGGTGGGGGTGGTGGCGGCAGTGGCGGGGGAGGTGGCAGGAGTGGAGGCGGCGGTTGGGGTGGCAGTGGACGAGGCGGCGGCAGGGGTTGGGGTGGTCGAGGAGGTGGCAGCGGTGGTGGTGGCCGTGGAGGCACTGGCGGTGGCCAGGGCCAGCAGCACACTCCCTCGCCCCAGGAGGTCCGTGAGTGGTACTCTCAGCACGGGGGTGGGGGTGGTCTTAACTGCACGTACGTCATTCGCACTGGTGACCGCACTGGTCAGCAGTGTGGACGACCGCACGCCACACAGCGCTGCTTCTCTCGTCTCGACGACGCTTGGCGTGTTCAGTTCCCTCAGGCCACTGAGCTGCCCCGCTGGCTTGATCTCCTGAAGAAGGGGATTGATATCTATGCTCTAGACTTTGATGCTATTCTATCTGCCATGTATGTGATGTCTACTAGTGGAGAGGGTGCTGAGTACTTGTGTGTGCCGCCCGACCCGGGCATTAGGGCCAGTGCGTCTGCCGCTCCAGGTACTCGCGTGTCGGCTACCCCAGGTGTTGGTGAGGCTGCTGCTCTAGGTGCTCGTGTGTCTCCCCCCCTTGGTACTGCGTCAACTGCCGCACTGCACACCTTCACACTGGACTCAGGTGCTTCTCACTGCTTCTTTCGTGACCGCACTGCCTTTGAGCCGCTTGCTCGGCCAGTTGCTGTCTCCCTTGCTGACCCCTCTGGGGGTCCGGTCATTGCGACCTCTTCCACTGTCCTTCCCTGCCCTGTGGTCCCGTCGGGCACACTGTCAGGTCTCCACCTCCCCTCGTTCTCTACGAACTTGGTGGCAGGTTGTGCACTCCAGGACGGGGGTGTTCACCAGTTCACCCCTGCCTACGAGCGCGTGACACACTGCACGTGTGCTCGTACGGGCCGTCACTTGGCTACCTTCACTCGGCAGCCGGGGTCGGACCTTTACACACTGACTACTGAGTCCCCTCAGGTTGCTGCGACTGCGTCCGCGTCCGCGTCAGGTCAGCTGTCTGCCCCCTGCTCGTGTCGCTCTTTGGCACACGAGATTGTCCTCTGGCACCACCGCCTTGGCCACCCGTCTGTGCAGCGGCTTCGTGCCATGCACTCCCGGTACCTTGTCTCTGGCCTGCCCAGGGTCCTTCCTGCCCTCCCACCCTCGCCTGCTCCTACCTATCTCCCCTGTGTCGAGGGACGGCAGCGCGCCGCTCCTCACTCCTCGTTCCCCCCGACGACTGCTCCCTTGCAGACACTCCACATGGACGTGTGGGGCCCAGCCCGCGTCCGTGGTTAGGGTCAGGAGAGGTACTTCCAGATAGTTGTTGACGACTACTCGCGCTACACCTCGGTCTTCCCCTTGCGCACCAAGGGTGAGGTCCCTGATGTCTTGATCCCTTGGATCCGCAGAGCCCGTCTCCAGCTCAGCGAGCGTTTTCACTCGGACTTTCCTGTCCTGCGCTTGCACTCTGACAGAGGTGGTGAGTTCTCCTCCGACCTCTTGGCAGCCTACTGTGCTGAGCACGGCATTGAGCAGTCGTTCACGCTTCCGGCTTCTCCACAGCAGAATGGGGTTGCGGAGCGCCGCATTGGCCTGGTCATGAAGGTCGCCCGTACCTCCTTGATCCATGCGGCTGCCCCCCACTTTCTGTGGCCGTTTGCGGTCCGGTACGCTGCGCATCAGCTCAACCTCTGGCCCCGTGTCTCCTTGCCGGAGACCTCGCCCACGCTGCAGTGGACGGGGGAGGTTGGCGATGCGTCGCGTTTCCGGGTCTGGGGGTCTCGAGCTTTTGTCCGCAATTCGTCTGCGGACAAGCTCTCCTCCCGTGCTGTTCCCTGCGTCTTCCTCGGCTTTGTCCCGGACGCGTCTGGTTGGCAGTTTTACCACGCCACCTCGCGCCGGGTCTTGCCCTCTCAGGACGTCACTTTTGACGAGTCCGTCCCCTACTACCGCCTCTTCCCCTACCGCACTGCCCCGCTCCCCCCCCCGCCTCTCTTCCTCGCGCCAGGTGCTGCTGTTGCAGACCCCCTCCCCCCTCAGGGTGCCGCTCCCTCAGGTGTGTCTCAGGTAGACCCGGTTGAGCCTGTTGAGGTAGCTGTCGACTCTCGTCCTGCTTGGGGTGCTGAGCCTGGGGGTGCTGAGCCTGGGGGTGTGGAGCCTGGGGGTGTGGAGCCTGGGGGTGTGGAGCCTGGGGGTGTGGAGCCTGGGGGTGTGGAGCTTGAGGGTGCTGAGCTTGGGGGTGTGGAGCCTCGTGGTGCTGAGCTGCAGAGTCCGGAGTCTGGGGGTTCTGAGTCTGGAGGTACTAGGCCTGGGAGTCCTGCACCTGGAGGAGCCCTCTCCTCGGAGCAGCTGCGTGCGTGGTACTTAGAGTACTGCAGCCTCCGGAGAGGTACCGCTCAAGCCGGACGTACTACTGGGACTGGTGCTAGTGCTTCTTCTCCCGTTCGGGAGCTCCCCTCCCGCGAGCGGATCCGTGAGTGGTACGAGCGGCGCTGCACTCTTCGGAGTGGCGTGCCTCGTGTTACGGACCCCGCTGCTGTTGGAGCTGCTGCTGGTGCTGAGGACCCGGGCGTTGGAGCTGCTGCTGGTGCTGAGGACCCGGGCGTTGGAGCCGCTGCTGGTGCTGAGGACCCGGGCGTTGGAGCCGCTGCTGGTGCTGAGGACCCGGGCGTTGGAGCTGCTGCTGGTGCTGAGGTTCAAGGCGTTGGAGCTGCTGCTGGTGCTGAGGACCCGGGCGTTGGAGCCGCTGCTGGTGCTGAGGACCCGGGCGTTGGAGCTGCTGCTGGTGTTGAGGACCCAGGCGTTGGAGCTGCCGCTGGTGCTGCGGACCCGGGCGTTGGAGCTGCTACTGGTGCTGAGGACCCGGGCGTTGGAGCTGCCGCTGGTGCTGAGGACGTGGGCGCTGGAGCTGCTGCTGGTGCTGCAGACCCTGGTGCGGGTGTCCCTGGTGGCTCTGGTGTCGCTGCTCGGTCTCGGCCGTACTTTGTTCCGCTCCTTCAGCAGGTTCTTGGTCAGCTTCCTCCTCCTTTTCCTCCTCCCTCCTTAGCGTGTCCTCCGCCTGTCCAGCTGCAGTCGGCGTTACCGTCTGCCTCCTCTCTCCCTGGTCCCGCTCCTTACACTGGTCCGACTGGAGGTCTTACTGAGCGGCGTGAGCCTGCGTCTCGTCCTGCGTCGCCTGAGTCTCGTCCTGAGTCGCCTGTCCGCACTGCTCTCTCTACTAGTCGAGTCCAGCGTCAGCGTCTTCCTGCTGTCCCAGGCACTCACCGGATGGCGCTTCTTCCGTCCACTGCTCCACAGCGTGTCCCACTGCCGTCTCCTCCTGCTTCCTCTCTTCCTGCTCTTGCTGACCCTAGGTCAGACTCTCTTCGTGCTACCAGTCCTACTGTCTCGCGTCTCCTGGCTACTGCTCTCACTGACCCTTCCTTTGAGTCTGCTGTTGCGTCGGCCTTAGTTGCTGAGCTTGTCGAATTTGCTGCTCGCTGTCGTCTAGACTACGCTGCTAGCCTAGTTGCTGAGTCTAAGTCTGTCTGTCCTCCGTCCGTCGGGGGTGAGTGTGCTCTTGGCACTGACGTCCTTGAGGATAGGCAGGAGGAGTTTGAGTGCTTTGCTGCCGCTTTGCCCCATCTCGTGTCCATGCTTGTTGCCCCTGAGGGAGACCCGGATGCACCAGACATCCCGACCCCACGCTCTTACGCAGAGGCGATGGCCGGTCCCTACTCCTCTCAGTGGCAGTCAGCCATGGACACAGAGATGGCTTCCTGGAGATCCACAGGCACCTACGTCGACGAGGTTCCCCCACCTGGGGCGAACATCGTCAGTGGCATGTGGATTTTCAGGGTGAAGCGGCCGCCGGGCTCTCCGCCTGTCTTCAAGGCGCGTTACGTTGCACGAGGCTTCAGTCAGCGAGAGGGAGTTGACTTCTTCCAGACCTTCTCCCCGACCCCGAAGATGACCACTCTTCGGGTTCTGCTGCACGTCGCCGCTGAGCGTGACTACGAGCTCCACTCGCTTGACTTCAGCACTGCTTTCCTGCAGGGCAGCCTGCACGAGGAGATCTGGCTGCGCCGTCCACCTGGCTTCACTGGGTCGTTCCCTCCTGGTACCCAGTGGAGCCTCCGACGGCCAGTCTACGGTCTCCGCCAGGCGCCTCGTGAGTGGCACGACACACTGAGGACTACGCTTGCGGCTCTTGGGTTCGCGCCTTCTACTGCTGACCCGTCGCTGTTTCTACGCACCGACACCTCACTGCCGCCGTTCTACGTCCTTGTGTACGTGGACGACTTGGTCTTTGCTACTGCTGACACTGTGGCACTCGCCCACGTGAAGTCGGAGCTGCAGAAGAGACACACGTGCACAGACCTGGGTGAACTGACAAGCTATCTTGGCTTGCGGATCACCTGGGACAGAGCACGCCGCACCATCACCTTGACTCAGTCACACATGGTGCAGCAGGTCCTTCAGCGCTTCCGCTTCACGTACTCCTCGCCTCAGCCCACTCCTCTGCCTACCGGTCACTCGCTCTCAGCTCTGCCTTCGGATGAATCCGTAGAGCCGAGTGGCCCGTATCCAGAGCTTGTGGGTTGCCTCATGTACCTGATGACCTGCACTCGACCAGACCTTGCATACCCTCTCAGCATTCTTGCACGCTATGTCGCTCCCGGCCGTCACCGGAAGGAGCACATTGATGCAGCTAAGAGGGTGTTGCGCTACTTGTGCAGTACGTCGGGCATGGGGCTAGTGCTTGGAGGGCGAGTCCCAGTTGTTCTCACTGGGCACTCAGACGCTTCTTGGGCAGACGACCAGGCTACTCAGCGGTCGTCTCAGGGTTACTTCTTCAGTCTTGGCTCTGGTTCTGTCTCTTGGCGTTCTACTCGCTCTTCTTCTGTTCTCAGCTCCAGTTGTGAGGCTGAGATCTACGCCACAGCCATGGCTGCCCAGGAGCTACGCTGGCTCACCTACTTGCTGACCGACCTTGGAGAGCAGCCTCGTTCTCCTCCAGTGCTGTACGTCGACAACAAGGCAGCCATTGCCTTGTGTGAGGAGCACAGACTGGAGCACAGAACGAAGCACATTGCTCTGCGTTACTTCCTTGCTCGAGAGCTGCAGCATCGTGGTCAGCTTCGCCTGCGTTACGTGGCCTCTGAGGCCAACACTGTTGATGTGTTCACCAAGGCGCTTCAGCCTTGTGACCATCAGCGCTTTTGCACTCTTCTAGGCCTTGTGCCTACTAGACCTCACTTGCTTACTTCTTGAGTCTGTTTGTACTGTGATCTCTATATATATACCTGCATGTTTACTCTTGTTAGGTTGTGATCATTGTACCTTTTGCTCTATTATAAACCTGCATGTGAACTGGTCTTGTGACCACTTGCTTGTGCTCGGAATTTGTGTGGTATCCTTGAGATCCACCCTGAGCTTGTTTTGCCTTGCTTTGCCTTGACTGGTCTTGTGACCCCTAGTTCTCCCCCACTTTGCCTATGGGGGTGTGTCAAACATTATATATGTTGTGTTAGTTTAGGCTACAGTGGGTTAGCCTATAGGGGGTACACAATTCTAGGGTTAGGTACTTGTACTCATTTCACTGCTAGTTCATCCATTCCTGTTCAGTGATTCCAGCAGTGAGAGAGCGCGAAGGCGACGGGAGAGAGAGCGCGAAGGCGACGGGAGAGAGGGCGCGAAGGCGACGGAAAGAGAGCGCGAAGGCGATAGGAGAGAGAGCGCGAAGGTGACGGAAAGAGAGCGCGAAGGCGACAGGAGAGTGATAGGCGATGCGCGAGAGAGGAAGGCGACCAGGAAACGTAGCGCGATGATTGCGCGGGGCTTGGAAACACAATGCGCTAATACAAGTGTGTATTACGCAGAAGCGCGAAGTTCATAACTACGCGCCTAGTCGGAAATTGTCGAGGTCCTAAGCTACTCAATGTTTGGCAGAGAGCTGGAATGATTAGTTCTCACGCTGCTATGTGAATAAACTAGTGACTAGAGGAAGTGGGTGATGAACCCAGGACCAGCTTGAAATTGGAGTTGGGCCTGGCGACGGAAAAGCATCGCCAGGGAACGGTCATGCGGATGCAGCACGCACGTATGCGACGGCTGATATGATCCTCGAAAATCGTTTTGGCGGGAGCCAATTTTTTTCAGATTGGTGTGAGCCAATCAGATTACTTCAACCTGTCTAACCGTTTTGTTTGGAACAGTGTTTTATCAGCCGAACTCATCGCATCGATTTCAAGGTGGGACGGCCTTCACTATTTTATATTTCGGCTGACTGGAGGATGAGGAAAACAAGTAGGCCACATATCAGTAACTTGAGTTTTTTTAAGGCCTGTGTGTCAACCTTAATTTTATGTCAGTGTATTGAGTCACAGTTTCGTTACTCTATACGCGCAACTCGTAATAGTCACGAAGCATCAATTAGGGGACACTGCACAGATGATGATAAGGCACCACGTCATCCACGAACTGATGAGCAATGAGCACGTTCTGCCAAAGCTCTCCACTAGCTTAGGCGAATATCTGGAGGTTAGGCATGGCTTGGTCGTCATCCCTCCCAGGCCTGGACAGCACCCGAAGCTTGAATATCATCAAGAGAATACTTCGGGGCTCGCACACCTCTGGGAAACTGGTGCACCAACCAAGCCTCTAGTTTAGTCCCTAGCTGATCCCCAAAGCCCAAAAAGGTGAAGGCAGATTCATGAAAAAACTTACAGGTTGGCGCTGCTCTCGCACGAAATACGCCCTACGAACCTCAGCTCCTGCTCAAACTTTTGGCTAAGTGGGAGAGTGTCCCCCTGATTTTGCCACACTCATGATTTAAATTTCTTGATGGCACGCGGAAATACCCTGGCCTGGTTTGGAAGCCGGGCAAGTTACTTTCGAAGGTCAGGCTCGATGTCCACCGAACCTCCCATGTCGGTACTGGACAATAGGTTATGTCATCGTACCGCCACCTGCCCAAGAAAACAACCCCTATAATTTGCAGCTTGCAAGAACGCGGCCTTCCCGGAGCTCCCAAGCCCCAGCACCGATTCGTACCGACCGAACCTACACAACCACGAGGAAATCAAGACTGTGGTGATGCCTGCAACATTTCCCCCCCGCGGTCGGGTGAGTCAGCAGCAGCAGCAGCAGCACCAGCCGTCTGCCCCTCCCTCTTCCCTCCTCCCTCCCTCACCTCACTTTCCCTCGTGAAGCACCCACAATCGCCTGCCCTTAAAACCGGAGTCCCAAACAGCCCCAAAGTGCCTCAACCTTCCTAACTTTGAGAAGGGGTGACGCAGTAGGTACGACTCACTTCGCAAATCGGGGGGACAATTTTCGTCACGCGAAACTGCTGTTCTAGCGAGGACGAAAGCAGTGACGATTTCGCCAACAAATTTGAAGCCCGTCCGAAACTGTCTGCGAACCAGTTCTGATGTTGCATTCCAGATCTGGTTATTTTCGCGATTTTTTCTTCCTTTACGACCCCAGACCACCAATTTCGACACCACCCTGGCTCGCGAGCCAGTCACCTTTCTCTCCCCTTTCAACCTTCCTAACTTAGAAACTCTTGGACCTCCGGCTTTAAGGCTCTTGTTGAAGCTGTGTTGTGGAGGTTAGGCTGCTTTCTTCTCTTGCACCAGATGGTGCATTCTGCATAATCTCTTCCCGTCTATTCTGCCAGAGCTGTGGAAGCCAACATTTTTCTGCGTCGCATTCTTTTGTTCGCCTCGTCGAACAACAGCGACGCTGATTGCTCGTAGCCGAAGGAGCCAAATTGAGACCAAGCGCAGTAATCACATAACTTGCGTCTGTCTTATAAACCGGCTTTAAAAGCTACCACTTCGTGGCTCCTGTTAATTTCGTCCCATTACCGTTCGTCCGCATAATTTCGTTCCCCCTTCGTTTCCGCAATGGGAGCTCAACAATCCGCCGCCAAGGGCGTCAAGCTGCGTCGCCGTTCTGCTACGGCTGGAGCTGTTACCGCGGATGAGCTTAACGAAGCAGGCGTCGACCTCGCCAAGGCCGTCGCGCAGTCCACCAAGATCCAGGAGCTCGCGCGCGCACAGGCTGGCGCACAGGCTGGCGCACAGGCTGGCGCACAGACTGGCGCACAGGCTGGCGCACAGGCTGGCGCACAGTCTGGCGCGGCCGTCGCCGCCGGTCCCGCCAGACCCGCCGCTGGCGGCGCAGGTCCAGATGCGCGGAAGAAGAGTTCGCGCGGCGCTGGGACGCTCGACTTACCGCCATGGGAGGTGGTCGCCAGCTTGACGGAGGCTGACTGGGTGGCGCTTCGCGCGTGGATCGAGGCTGGATGGCGGTACGTTCGCTCGTTATTGACCAATGTCAATCCCTTTGTCTCCCCCGCCTTTTTTACTCCCAAGATTATCCTTAAAGCCGTTGTCTTTCGCTCATTGTTGTTGACTCAGTCGAAGCTACTGAAGAGTAGACGCTGTTTGCAGCTCTCGGTCGGACTCGGTAGCCTGCTTTTCTCGCCTTTCTTGGCTTTCCCGCTGCATTTCATCATTGTTTATTTATTTTTGCAATAAGCAATGAAGCGGCTGTCGAGTGTGCCAATCTCACCGAAATCCTCTTGCTATATAAACAATCACTAGTAGTTATCGTGTCTATTCAGTAACCACCTAATTACGTTTAAATTTCAGTAATTATATATAATAATGATCACATTTGCGCCCACGTGCCTCTCACCCCCGTAGTTGCCGCAAGTGCTCTCACGTCCGCGACGACGCCAACGAGCATCCCAAGGCGGCGCAGCTGCTGCAGCGCTGCGGCATCCACCTCCCCAAGCCCGGCACATCTGGCGGCGGGCGCGCGGGCGGCGCCGTCGGGTCCGGCGCCGGCTCTCCCGCTGTCAGCGGCCGCACGACCCCGTCTACTGTCGCTAGCGGAATGCATGTTATCGAGTACGCGTCCGCGTCCCCGGACAATCAAGTCGGTTACCTCTCCGACACCTCGTCTCCGACCACCTCCCGCACGGGTTCCCCGCAGCGGGACTCGCGCGCGCGGAGGGGCGCGGCTGGCTCCGACATGTCGCACGACGCGTCCCCGCGCTTCCACGCCGGGTCCCCGTTCGGGGGATCCGAAGGGGGGGGAGCGCCGGGGGGAGCGGGCGCGGGGGAAGGTCCGGGGACGACCGCGGCAAATGTGCTGGGGATTGAGGCGTGCCCGCACATGCAGGGGAAGATGATTGCGGGGAGCGACAGGGCCAGCGAGATCGACAGCCTTAATTCGAGCTTCCGGGAGGATGCGGGGAGCACGCGCGGCGCCGGGGGGGTTCCGCCCGCTGGCGGCGCGCAGAAGGGCGGCGGAGCGGCTTCCGGGGATGCGCTGCATCGGAAGCTGCTGTCCGCGATTGCGCGCGCGCACCAAGTGTATTTCATTGATAAGGTGAGGCGCGCCGAGTGTGCTTCGTTACTGAGCTGAGGCATCCGCTACTGAAAGGGAGCTACGCCGTGCGAGCATCAGTAGGCGTGTAGTACACGTGCATAGGTCAGTCAGCACCAGAAGTTGCTGCGGTTCGACCCGGTTCAAAACGGTGCTCCGGAGCGGAGGAGGGTGTAGGGCGACGGAAAGGGGAGGAAGGCGAGGAGTAACGAGAGGGATGCTGGGAAGCAGTGATGAATTGCGGAGTTCTTGCGGAAGGGCGGCGCGGCGGAAGGGTAGCGCGGGATGGGGAAGGGGCAGCGCGGATGAGGGAAAGATGGCGCTTGATGGGGGAACGTTGTACATTGAGTATGGGGGGAGGGGAGGCCCGTACAGGGCGGAGGTCTAGTCTCGAGTTGCCTCAGGAGATTCAGGGGCCGTACAGCTGGGGCGTTCCAGGGTGCTTGTTTACATGTCTTGAACCGTATGGTTCTCCCACTCACCTCCCGCGCGCTCCCCCGCTCCCCCTGTGCCCCTCAAGACCTCCTTCGCCCCCCCGTCAACCCTCCCCTATCCTTTTCCCCCACTTCTCACCCCTCTCCCCCCCCCCCCCCCCTTTTTGTTTTGTTGTTGAGCAGGAGCCGAACGGCACGCTGGTGTTTGATTTCCTGCTGTCCGCGCTGCTAGACGTGACCTCGTCAGGCTTTGGGTTCATCTCATCCGCGCTTCTCAAGGCCGATGGCACGCCCTACCTCAAGGTACACTGCCCTGCCGTGCTGGGTTGTGTGGCGCCGTGTTGCGTGGTGCAGTGCAGTGTGGTGCGGTGCGGTGCAGTGTGCAGTGCGACAAAGTTGTTACGAACGATGATGAACAGGAAGTGATGAATCGAAAGGGAACGCTTCTAAGATTCTATACAGCCAAAGTCGTTATGAGAAAATCCATGTAGCTGAGAACTGTCTGCTTGTGTGCATCTGCCAATGCCTTGTGATTGCCCTTTACAGTCTTACAGTTTCAGCAGAGTGTCGTGATTTTGGCAATCACAGCACGCATGCACGTGCCACTACTCGGTTGCATTTTGCATGGGGTGCGGAACGGATAGTGGTTGAGGTTGCAGAATGGTTGAGGTTGCAGAATGGTTGAGGTTGCAGAATCCTTGACGTGCTTCCCCTTCGTTCTTCTCACACTCTCGTTCTTTCCCCATACACTCCTCTCTCGCTCTTCTTTCCCTCTCTCCCCTTTTTCTCCCCCCGTTGTTTCCCAATTCTCCCCCCTTTTCTCCCCGCCTTCTCCCCGTCTCCCCCCTTTCTCTCCGTTTATACCCCTCTTCCCCCTTCTCCCGCTGCCCTCCTTCCCCGTTCTGCCTCCCCCCTTTCCCCTCCCAATCCCCCACCACTTGAAATCCTGCAGACGCACGCTATCGCGGACGTTGCGTGGACCAAGGAGCTGCGCGCGTGCTACCCAGAAGAGTCTTTTGCACCCTCGCCTTTTGAGGCGCCTCAAAAGTCGTCTCATGTCCCGCGGTTTTGAGGCGCCTCAAAAGCTGCGCGCGTGCTACCCAGAAGATTCTTTTGCACCCTCGCTTGCCCCTTCCATTGTCCCTCCCTTACTTCTTCTCCCTTCCCCTCACTCCCCCCGTCCCCTCCCATGCCCCTCGTCCACCTTTCCCCCCCTTCCAGACACATGCGATGACGAACGTGGCATGGACCAAGGAGCTGCGGGCATGGTACGCGGCGAACGCGCACAAGGGGCTGGTGTTCACCAACATGAACACGCTGCACGGCACCGTGGTGCTCACGGGGCAGGCCGTGATTACAAATGATGCTGTCAACGACCCCCGCTCCCGCGGCGTGCCCCCGGGCCACCCGCCTATTGAGACCTTCATGGGAATCCCGCTCTACACAGGTGGGTGTTTGTGTGTGGGTGGGTGAGGAGAAGGATGATGGAAGGGGTTTTTGAGTTTCAAGTTGCCCACCCCCTGGGCACCCGTCCATTGATTGAGTCCTTCATGGGCATTCCGCGTTGCATGGGTGCGTGGGGGAGGGAGACGGAGGAAGAGGATAAATGAAGGGGAGTTTTAAGTCGGTTTAGAAGCTGTCGCTGGGTCACCCGTCCGTTGAGGTTTTTGTGGGCATTCCGCTTTACACGGGTGGGTGGCTGGGGAGTGGGGAGGCGGAGGGGGCTAAGGAGGCGGAGGGGAGGCGGAAGATGGGGGAGGGGGGAGGCAACCGAGTAAAGACAGTGCAGCTGGCGCAGGCATTAGGTGCACCTGCTGATTCCCCTCCCCCACCTTCCCCACTCCCCTCTGCGCCTGCTGATTCCCCTCCCCCTCCTTCCCCACTCCCCTCTGCACCCGCCTCCCCTCTCTCCGCACCTTCAACTGCTCCCAACCGGTCGGAACAGGCACGGAGCTGATTGGAATCTTTGGCCTGGCGAACCGCATGGAGGGGTATGACGAGCTGCTGGCCAAGGAGCTGATAGATTCACCTGCTGATCCCCTCCCACCCCGTTCCTCCCCTTCCCCCCCCCCCCTTCCCCCCTCTACACCCCTACCAACAGGCACGGAGCTGATTGGCATCTTTGGGCTGGCGAACCGCATGGAGGGGTATGACGAGCTGCTGGCCAAGGAGCTGGAGCCGCTCACTCTCACCATCGCCCAGATGATCTATGCCGTGAATGAGCGCAAGAGGAGGAAGGAGGCGGAGCTGCACCTGTCGAGTGTCGTGCAGGTGAGTGAGAGACGGCGGCGCTGCTCATCATCAAGTCGTTTGCACCATGGCGCACAGCAGGCAACTTTTGAGTCGGACTCAAAAGTCATCATGGCGTGCTGCAGTCACGCGCTCTCCACAGACAACGCGTTTTCCGACTCATCTGCTCGCAATCCCTTTTGTCTCGCTGCCTGTGCCTCCACACCTCTCCCAACCACTTCGTTTTTGTCCCCAGCAAAACCCCTTCCATCCCCGTCCCACACCTCCCCCTCCCCCCTCTCCCCTTCCCTCCCCCAGGTGGCAAACGAGGGCATCATGTCGCTGTCCCACAGCGGGCATGTGACGTCCATGAACCACTCGGCGCGGGTGATGTTTGGCTTTGCGGCGCCCGACAGCGAGCAGTCGGAGGACGTTCCCCCGCCACCCAACCTGCAGATCACCGACCTGCTGCTCGAGGTCGACGGCCACGCTAACTTCCTGCGGGAAGGTGAGAGATGGGGAGAGCTGGGTACTGATGATGGTTCTGGCGCGTGGGTGGGGAGAGAGAAGCGCCGTGTGTGCCTTTGCTGCCCAACCTGCAGGTCACCGACCAGCTGCTCGAGGTCGACGGCCACGCTGACTTCCTGCGGGAAGGTGGGTGGGAGGGCAAGGGAGGGAGAGAGAGAGTGGCAGCACGGCAGTGGCAGCGGCAGTGGCAGGTCAAGAATGTGTGTTTCATTCCAAGCCTTTTCCTGTTCCCCTCCCCCTCTCTCCCATCGCCCTCCCCCTCTCCCCCATCGCCCTCCCCCTCTCCCCCATCGCCCTCCCCCTCTCCCCCCTCGCCCTCCCCCTCTTCCCATCCAGCAGGTCTGGAGCACCACGCATTGCATGTGCACTCGGGGCAGGGACAGCGGCAGGACGGGAGTCGCAAAGGAAGTTGCTGGCCAAATGTGTCCGTTTCATTCTCGACTCTCCACCCCTCGCCGCCTCGTTTCCCTCTCCCTTCCACTGGCAGGTCTGGAGCACCATGCAGGGCACGTGCACTCGGGGCAGGGGCAGCGGCAGGATGGCAGTCTGTTTCCGATGGAGGTGTCAATCAGCAAGGGCACGTACGACACGGTGTTCTATGTCGCCGTTGTCAGGGACGTCTCTGAGAAACTCGACTCCTCCCGCAAGCTGCAGGTGAGGAGAGGAAGAGGGGAGGGGGGAGGGGGGAGGGGGGAGGGGGGCAGGGAGGGTAGAGAAGGACAATTGGGGGAGGGGCAGTGGGGGGTGTCGACGTGAGTGAGAAGCTTTTGTTGCTTGCATGCTGGTGGCGAGAGGCAGTGAGCAGAACAGGGCACCGGATTCCAGCTTCTTGAATTTGGAGATGTGCTCTGGCCTCGTGCTCGTGTGCGTGGCTGGTTGTTGAGTGCAGGAGAGTGAAGAGCGGTGGAAGTATGCGCTGCACGGCAGCGAGCTGGGCGTGTGGGACTGGAACGTGCGTGACAACACCCTCGAGATCAGCGACCAGTGGAAGGCTGTCCTTGGGTGAGTGCTGGGAGGAGAGCAAAGCGTGTGGGGAGAGAGAGAGAGGCGCGTGGGAAGGGGGAGCGGGCAATGGGCCCACCTGTATGTAAAAGCAGCTTAATGAAGACCACCCACGACTGATGGCTAACTTCAGGAGACACCCTCGGATTGCTGGGCGTCAAACCTATTGAATCCTCCCCAAGAGGAGGTCGGCACGATGCGAGCTGCCTTTTCCATGTGGCTCATATGTTCCGCCGGAGGGATACACACCGGACGAGCTAGATTCGTTGGCGGAGGTGCGGGAGTCGCTATTGAAGCGGCTCATAAGTTCCCCATCCCCTCCGCCTCAGGGCCCTCCCACCCCACCCTTCCCCCCACCCTGGCAGGTACGCGCCGGACGAGCTAGAGGGATCAGTGGGGGTGTGGGAGTCGCTGCTTTGTTTGAAGTGGCTCAAGGTTTCCCCATCCCTCCCCCCTAAACCCCTCACGTGCTGCCCCAGTTACGCGCCGGACGAGCTAGAGGCGTCAGTGGAGGTGTGGGAGTCGCTGCTGCACCCCGACGATGTGCAGTCGGCGTTCATCGACCTCAAGGCGCACCTGGACGGCTGCACGCCTGTGTTTGTGCACGAGCAGCGCCTGCGCTGCAAGGACGGGTCGTACCGGTGAGTGGCGCGGGGTGGGGTGGAGTGGGATGCTCTTTGTGAGACTCTCTGGGAGGCTCTTTGTGAGGTTTGCAGTGACGGAAGAGAGTGGTGCAGTGCAGCTGCTGGACGGCCGACCGCCCGTGTTCGTGCATGAGCAGCGCCTGCGCTGCAAGGACGGGTCGCACCGGTGAGTAAGAGGAGAGACAAGATCGGGTCACTTGGCAAGGAGGGGTCACTTGGCAAGGAGGGGTCACTTGTGTGATGATTCATTAAAAGAAGAGCAGACAAGGGACTGCTCCGCTCCTCTGGCCCTCCCTGACCATTACACAGCCATCTGCCATCGTACTTCTCCTCTCTCCTCTCCCGTCTCCCCAAATCTTCCCCATTTCCCCGTCCCACCCTCCCCTCCCAGGTGGCTGCTGCACCGCGGGCAGGTGGTGGCGCGGGGGGAGAACGGGGAGCCGCTGCACTTTGTGGGCACGCATGCAGATGTGACGGACCGCAAGCAGACCCACGCTGCTGTCGTCGCTGCTGACACTGCCAACGCGCGCCTCCGCACTGCCGAGGCTGGTGAGAGATGGGGGGAAAAGGGGGGCGGCGTGGACGGGTGCGAGGGGTTGGGGGTGTGCGCGGGGGGGGAGGGGGGAGGAGTATGAGAGACTGGGGTTGGGTGAGAGTTCTGAGGGACGTGTGGAGGATTAGGAGAGTTGTGTGGGCGTTGTAAGGGAAAGGGTCCCACAGGGACCGCCTAGCTCAGATGTCCTGTATCGTCCCTCTGTTGAGTTTGATCTTCCATCCTCCCACTCCCACCCTCCTCAGCACCCCCTCCCTCCGCCCAGGGTTATCTCTCAAGTCTAGACAACCTGGAGTAATCCTTGCGAGTGATTTTTGAGAATTCTAAAAAATCACTCTCAAGTCTAGACAACCTGGAGTAGAAGCCAGTTTCTCATGTCCAGCATCATGTTCTTCGTTTCTCTCCCTTCACCTCTTTCTCCTCTCTCCTCCATCCTCCGTCCTGTTTGTGCCCTCTTCCCACCCATTCATTTTTCCCCCCTCTCCCCACCCACCTTTTCTCCAGGGCTGTTCGCCAAGCTAGACCACGAGGTTCGGGAGCCAATCAGCAGCGTGCTGGAGAGCGCCAAGGTGCTCAAGGACGCGCCCGAACTTACCGACGAGCACCGGGCGGCGGTGAATCAGATCGAGGAGAGCGGGCGGCAGCTGGCGTCTGTAGTGGCGGACGCTCTGGACAGTACTATCATTGAGGCAGGCGGCTGGACACCCAAGCTGGCGCTTACTGCTGTCGCAGAGGTGGGTGTGGGTTCATGTATGTATGAGGCGTCTCAGATGTGTTTTAATTAGGCTGAGGTGGGTGTGGGTTCATGTATGTATGAGGCGTCTCAGATGATTTTTAATTAGGCTGAGGTGGGTGTGGGGCTGGAAGATCGGTGTGGGTGTGCTGAAGCTAAGGTTGGTGCACTCCCTGGCCAGTTTCTGACAGGGTTGGCGACCACTGCTTGCGTGCTTGCTTGCTCGAGCACGTGTGTTGTGCAATCAGGGATGGTAGGGTCATCTTCTTGCTTCCTCCTCCTCCTCTCCTCCCGCGTCCCGCTCCCTCCCCTCTCCTCCCTCTCCCTCCTCCCACAGATGGCAGAGGCAGCAGCGGAGGCGATGGCGGGAGCGGCGGAGAAGAAGGGGCTGGAGGTGGTGCTGGATGCATCACCTGATGCGCCACCCTTCATTCTCGCTGACTCCTGTCGCACCATCCAGGTGCGTACTCCCTCTTGCCCAACATTTGAGAGGTCTCAAAAGAGGAAGGGCTGGAGGTGGTGCTGGATGCATCACCTGATGCGCTGAGATAAAAGAAGTGTTCTGAGACGCCTGAAAAAGCGCCGCCCTCAAATCGAGGTTGGCGCTCCCACTTTCCCGCCTCTTGCTCTACCCATCCACCTCCCTTTCATGTAGTTGCCCCTTGTCTGGATCCCCGTCATGCTCGTTCCTTTGCAACCCTTGTTGGCTCGTGGTGGTAGCATGAAGTATGCAGTTCAAATGCACCACCTCTCCCTCCTCCAGTCGCCATGACTCCATCGCTCCCCTCCACACACCGGAACTTGCCTCCTCACAGACAACTCCCCTCCACTCACCCGCACTCGCCCCAGGTGCTCGTGTCGCTGCTGTCGCTGGCCATCCAGTGCACGAGTCGCGGCTTCGTGCGTCTGCGCATCTACAAGGAGAGCCCTCCAGCAGCAGGCGCAGCAGGCGGCAAGGCCACAGTGCTAGTGGCGTCCATCGAGTCACCTGCTGCCCCCGCTGCTCTCTCAGCTGCCTTTGACGCCAACCAGGGCAGCCTGCTGGCCGCCAAGAAGGTGAGACGGTGTTTGAGTGGACTAAAGAGGCGGCCAAGGGCCGGTGCTCGTGGCGTCTGTCGAGTCCCCTGCTAACCCCGCTGCTTTTTCTGCTCCCTTTGACGCCAACCAGGGCAGCCTGCTGGCCGCCAAGAAGGTGAGTGAGTGCTGTTAAGAGGACTTTTTGTGAGTCGACTCAAAAGCAAGAAGGCGCTGTTAAGAGGACATTTTTTGAGATTTCTCAAGAGAATCCCGAAGATTGAATCCAGTGTCACGGCCTGCCTTCCAGAGCATTGTGGTGCTGCGCCCCTCTGCAACCCGCCTTCCCCCCATGCTCTCCTCTTCATACCTCTCCCCTGTGTCCGTTGCCTCATTGTGCTTCCCTTTTGTGTGCTTCCCCCTGCACCCTATCCCTCTTGTGTGCACACCTCTCCCCAGCTGGTGGAGGCGATGGGGGGAGCGGTCACACTGGTGGCGGAGCAGCACCGGGTGCCGTCGGTGGCAGTCAAGTTCCCCGTGGACCTCTCTCGCCCCGAGTTCCAGAGCGCTGTGGTGCTGCGCCCCTCTGCTCCTCCGGTGATAGAGCAGCCGCTGCGCCAGTCCCGCGTGCTGGTCGTGGGAGCACTGCAGGTGAGCGCTGAGCGGGGACGGTGGTGGGTGTGGCACAGTGCAGGTGTGTGCGTGTGGTGCTGCGCCCCTCTGCTCCCCCAGTCATAGAGCAGCCGCTGCGCCAGTCCCGCGTGCTGGTCGTGGGAGCACTGCAGGTGAGCGTTGAGCGGGATACCGCAGGTGTCTGTGTGTAAGTGTGTGCGGGGAGAGTGTGTGCGGTGCATGTGTGTGGAAAATTGTATTTGTGCTTGGATCGACCCTCAATCTGCCTCGAGACAAGAAGAGCACACTCTGTCCCCTCCCACACCCTCCTCCATCCTGTCCCTGCATTTGACCACTGCAGCCATAGCAAAGCAGCTGCACGTGCAGTGGGACATGCATCAATTGTTACTGGCACCAAACACAACAACATACTCTCCCTTTCCGCTCCCCTCCTCCTGCTTCTCCCCTCCTGCTCCCTCCCTCCCGTCCCTGCAGGTGACCACAGCAGCCATAGCAAAGCAACTCCACGCGTGGCACGTGCCGCACAGCACCAGCAGCAGCACACCAGAAGAAGCCTTCCTCTCGCTCTTCCCCGCACACGCCCTCCCGCCAGTCATGACCTCCCCGGGTCAATCCCCCCCCACAACCTTCCCCGACGGCACCCCCCGCGACGGGCTCTCTCTAGACTATGATCTAGTTGTTGTGGATTGCTCTCAGAAGAAGCAGGTGAAGGGGGATCCGGATATGCTGTCGGTGCTGCAGCTGCTCGCGCGGGACCGTGTGGGCGTGGTGCTGCTGCTGAGCCGCACGGTTGCGAGGGACCCGGGGTTCAAGCAGGAGGTGGAGGAGGCAGCGAACTGGCATGGCCAGGCTCCCGTGCTGCTGGCTAAGCCCATGGTGAGAGGGGATTTGAGGGGTGGGTGGGTGGGATGGGGATGGGACGGGACGGGAGGGAGGGTGGGTGGGATGGGGATGGGACGGGACGGGAGGGTGGGTGGGATGGGGATGGGACGGGACGGGAGGGAGGGTGGGTGGGATGGGGATGGGACGGGACGGGAGGGAGGGTGGGTGGGATGGGACAGACTGGCATGACCAGGCTCCCGAGCTGCTGGCTAAACCCATGGTGAGAGGGGGGAGTTGAGGGGTGCGTGGGATGGGGGATGTGGATGGGAGATGGGGCTGGGGGACGGGGGATGGGGGTGTGGGAGGGGATGTGACGGGGTGCGACGGGAGGGAGGGGCGAGGGGAGGAAGGGTGCATGTGTTGACAAAGTGGACTAGGGTTGACCATTTGAAGGACAGAGTAGAGCAGGTGAGACTTTCCTAAGTGCTGTGGAAATCTTAGGGTGTGATTCCATTTGTTTGCTTCCCCTTCCCTCCGTCCCTCCCCTCTCTCCGCTCTCCCTCCCCCCAAATCCCCCTCTTCATGCTGTCTGTAGAATCAACCGCATTCTGTCTCTCACCTACATTCACTGCACCAACCTCCCCATCCGCCCTCCCCTTCCCCCTCCGGCCCTTTCCATCCCTCAGGTGCGAACGTGGCCCTTCTGGAGGCCCTAGAGGGCGCGATTATCCTACTCCCCGGCTACATCCACGCACGCTTGGACCTGCGGGGGGCTGCACAATACTCCCTAACCGCCCTCACCTCCCCTGTCCCTTTCCTTCCGCCCAGGTGCGACCGCGCGCCCTCCTGGAGGCTCTAGAGGACGCGCTTATCCTACTCCCCGGCAACGACCACGCGCTGTCGGACCTGCGGGGGGCAGCGCACGGCAGCGAGGAGAAGGACAAGCAGGCAGCGGAGCAGGCACTCAAGGAGGGCGCGGGGGCCATCGACAGGGCTGCAAGGGGAGGTGCGCTGCAAGGCCGCGTGCTCATCGCCGACTGCAACGCTGTGAGTGGTTAATATCACCCGAGATTCGCTCTCAGACCTTGGGCGGGCGGCGCACGGCAGCGAGGAGAAGGACAAGCAGGCAGCGGAGCAGGCACTCATGCAAGGGGAGGCGCACTGCAAGGCCGCATTCTCATTGCTGACTGCAACGTCGTGAGTGGCAGTTGTTTTTGAGTCGGGAGTTTGTTCAATCCTGAGTTTGATCAAGGGCAGATGCTTTTGAGCGGGTTTGAAGCCATCGAGCGGGCTGCAGGGGAGAGTTGCTCTCTGCTGACTGCAACGCCGTGAATGCCTTGAATCACCCGAAGGTCTTCCTCTCTCGAACTGCGCGATGCATCGGCATGGAGATGTCTTGGTGCACACCCGGTCCTCTCTCTGTTTGTCGCCTCTGTCCCTCCTCGCTATTTCCTTAACCCGTCCTCCCCTCATGCAGGCGGATCGGAAGGTGGCGGAGAGGCTGTGTGCGGCGATGGGGTTGGCAGTGGAGGGAGTGAGCACAGTGGTACGAGCCATGGAAAGGAACCAGGCCATGGGCTTCGACCTTGTGCTCGTCAACACCCAGGTGCGTGCACGGCACCCAAATGCGCGCCCCTTGCTCGTGTGCATATGTTGAGGTGGTGTGGTTGTTGGCTTGGCTAGCTAGCATGGCAGTGGTGCGAGCCATGAGAGGAACCAGGCCACAGGCTTTGGCCTTGTGCTCGTCAACACCCAGGTGCGTGCACGGCACTCACATGCGCGCCCCTTGCTTTCGTGGTCATTTGTTTCTTGCTCCTTAGGAGCCTGTCGACAGTTGGGTGTGAGTGGTTGTTGCTCTGGGTTGTTGTGCTGATGCTGCTATTGCTGTGAGTTGCTTTAAAGGCACATCACAATCTGCCGCTCATGTTGCACATGCAAGCCCGTTTATGCTGTTCTTGCCTTGGCACGCTCAAACCCCGTGTTGGGGACAGCGCAACCCAATCCTGCCACAGACAAAGCAGCTGCTTCCGTCCCTTCCTTTTCTCGCTCGTTGTTGTTGTTGTGTGATGTCTTGGCATTACACCCTGCCCCCTGTTGTCATGTTGTCATGTGGTCATGCACACATGTGGTGATGTGGTCGTGTGGACACGTGGTGATGTATGGGCATGTGCACACGTGGTGATGTATGGGCATGTGCACACGTGGTGACGTATGGGCATGGCATGTGCACACGTGGTGATGTATGGGCATGTGTGCATGGGCATGTGCGCATGTGTGTGTGACCAGATGCCCGGAGTGGACCTGCCAGCAGTGCTGCAGGCTCTGCAGGCAGACCACCGCAGGCGAGGGGCCACACGCGCTCTCATTGTCATGGGCATGGTGAGAAGGGGGGGGTAGGGATGGGTGTGGTGAGAAGGGGCGGAGGGGTGGGTGTGGTGAGAGGGGGGCAAGGGTGGGGGTGGTGGGAGGGGGGGGGCAGGGGTAGGCAGGGGCATGGTATGTTACAGCTCCGTGTTATTTGAAGCATATGTTGGAGGCTAGCATCTCTACTTCCAGCTCCATGTCATGACCTACCCCCCAACTCGTTTCAACTTGTCCTTACTTCTTACGCTTATGCCCATACCTTGCCCATGCCCATGCCCATGTCCACGCCCATGCCATGCCCTTACCCATGCCTTTACCCATGCCTTTACCCATGCCCATGCCCCCTGCTGCTTGGTTCCCCCAGTCCACAGGCCTTGACGAGCAGCAAAGGGCGGCTTACCTTGCAGAGGGTCTCTCAGGTACCAACCATGCTTGCAAGTTTCTCAGCAACCAACTCAGCACATGCATGCATGCATGCACCCCGCCTTTCCCTGTCCTTCCGCCCGTGTTTAGCTTCCCTTCAGCTGTCTCTCTTCAGAGTGAGCATTTTGGCTGCTTGCACTTATCAGCCGCCCCTCCTACTCCCGTTCGCCAGCCGTCCCCCCTGCTCCTCAAGGCTGATGGTGTCCTTTGATCAGTGCATGCAAGTCTCAAATAAACGTCTCACTTCTCATCTCATTTCTACGCATCTGTCTGTTCAGTCTATCCCTCCACTGCAAGCACCACAACTGCTTCTCACATACGCCAGCAGCTCTCCCCCCACCCCCACCCCCCCCACACACACACACCGCCAACCCTCCACTCTCCCCTCTCTCTCCTCCCCTTTTGTCTTCTCCCCCCATTCCTCTCCTCTCCTGTTTCCTCTCCCCCTTACCCTGCCCTAGTCCCGCTCTTGTCTCATTTCCACCCCAACACAATCCCTCATCTCCCTCTGTTCCCCTCTCCCTCTTTCCTCGCCCTCCCTGTTCCCGCCCCTCGTGCAACAGAGGCTCTGCCCAAGCCATTCACGATTGGTGCACTGGAGTCTCTTCTTCGCTCCTTCCTGCCCGCGCAGTGATAGTAGCTGCCCTGGCTGAAACAAAAGAGGGAGGACGCTTGTCGGTTGAAGGCGATGCATGAGGTTTTGAGTGGACGATGCATAAGAGGGTAGTTGTGTGGGAGTATGGAGGGTGTGGGTAATAACAACAGAGTAGCACCGTTAATTGCATGCCGACAAGGAGTATTTGCATTTGGTGGGGGGTGGATGTTGAGATGGGGAGGGGTGTAACCACGGGCATGCATGGCAGTGCTAGGTTCACTTCATCCGACTTCCTGCCCATCTAAGCTGTACAGGTCCATAAAGCAAGTACCGGTAGGCAAGTTATTGCTAGGTAGATGTTTTATCATATATTTTGTTGCAGTCTTGTGGACCAGGCAGTCTGGCTAGAGGCAGATATGAGGTAATAGTTGGAGACTTTATTTGCTGCAGACATGTTTGATGCATCCCTATGTATGTATCTGGAGTACTCTTCTGATGGTAGTAACAAAGCTTATAATAAACTATGTGTCAGTAACAGAAGTAACTTGGGATTTCGCAGCGAAACTGAGATTGCCGACGTCGCCTGCTACTTGGAATTCATCAAGCAGTATGGGAGCTTTCTCTTGCACCAATACGCTACGGTTGCTTTCCCCCATGTCCACTCCTCTGCCTCCTGTCTCCCCTGCTGCTATTCCTGCTACTCCTCCCGATGCCATCGCTGCTCCTGCTGTTGCTTTTACTCTAAAGATGTGAAATATACCTTACGCGGGATCACTGTATACTGATCCATGATTGGGAGGAATTAGGTTGTACAGTATCCCCAGCCCCAGCGCACCCAGCAAAGGTCCAACCAAAAACACCCAGACGTTCTCCCACAAAACCGCAGCCTCGGACCCCAAAGCTGCTGCCGGACCAAAGCACCTGGCTGGGTTCATGCCAACACCAGTATACCCAGGCGGAGCAATAGCTCCGGAAATGAAAATCAGGAGGGAAAGAACTGTCCCAATCAGGATCGGAGCGATGATTGGACCGAACAGTGTACCTTGGGTTTGGTCCAGAGCAACCCCGAACGCTACGAAAAGAAGCGCGAAGGTGAAAACTGATTCTGAAAGCAGGCCCTGTGCCATAGATAGTCCCGATGGGGGAGAGAATGGTGGAGGCGCAGTGGTTGATACGGGACCGTAGGAGGATGTGCTGTCAGAGAAGGGAAAAGGAGGAGGAGGCGGGGGAGGGACCGAGGGTTGAAGGAGCGTCACAGTGCATCCTGTAAGGAGGTATTTTGTAATGAGTACAGGCGGCAGCGCTCCCCGAGCACAAGCCGCGCCGAGCACGCTACCAACAAACTGCGCCGTGATGTAAAACGCAGCGCGGGGGAGGGATGTGAGACCGGCGAAGAACGTAGCGATAGTGATGGAGGGATTGACGTGGCCGCCAGACGCGGGAGCTGTGGCGAGGATGTGAAGAGTCAAGAGAAGGCCGTTGACGAGTCCAATGGCGAGAGGAGGGGAGGTGAAGGAGGAGTTGAGGCAGGAGGTGGTTGCCATGATGGAGAGAAAGACGAGGGACGCCGTGCCCACGAGCTCGATAACGGCCGCCCGCCATACCTGATAGTGGTAGCGAGGGGGTGTCATCGCGTGCAGGAGTTGAGCTGGCAAAATGATGGTTCGGGCGAACAATCATTTCAGATGAATGTTCGTGAGACGGAACGGAGCAAGGTTTGTGCGGAGAAAGGACGACCTCGAGGCTCCGAATTATGAAAAAACGTTCCACTACAGCTTCAAAGCACGAGAGAACGCACCTCGCTGGAGAACCAGTCGTTGAGGCCCAGCGCGCGAGCGAGAGGCCCGTGAAAGGGAGCTCGACGGCAGCGGCCGTGCAGCGTGCGGCGTTCGTCCGTCGCATACGGCACGAGCGACGCCTCGAACGGTGCTGTGCGACCGTCGTCTTCGTCCGTGCGACTGCGAGCATCCGTGTGACAGTCAGCCACATCGACGGCACGATCGTGCGAAGCTAACCTATCGGAGTTGATATCCATGGCGGTCGGACTGGTACTGTCGGAGGCACTCACACCCGAATTTCAATTTGTGTTCACACACAGTCGGAGTGGAAGTTTAGTACTGTTGAGGTTGGTCGTCTCGTATCTTCTACGAGAACACGGAGTCCTTTCCGTTGGCCTGAACGTTGCAAAGCTCGTCAACCGAGCAACACAAAAGGAGCCAATGCAGCAAGAGTCTCGCGGACTCTAGTATTCTCGCTCACAGGAGAGACTCCGGAGAGGGGAGAGTTGAGACTGGAGACTAGACTGGTCACAGGACGGGATACAAGAGAGAGAGAGAGAGAGATGGCGACCCGAGACCGAGAGTTGAGAGAGAGGGAGGGCGACAGGCGCGGCGCGAGGATCACCCCCTCTGGAAAGTGTCGCGATTCAAGAAGATTCTGTGCGTAGTTTCCTGGTGGCTTCGAATGTCACCTGGGGTGTTTTGATAGCATCTGGCATCTAAGTTAGTAATTCAGGCTTCGGGTTTAAAGCCCGAGTCCCAACTTGATGAAGTGCAGTGTGCAAGCTTTGAAAAGCAGCGCACCTGCAATTTGGGACTTTCGGGTGCTGACACAACCCCCAGGGCGAAATACGTGGGTTGGCTGGGCTAGGCGAAAAAAGCGAAATGCCCGAAATCGGAATCACTCGCCAAAACCCAAACCAGAAAAAACCCCTCGCGTCATCCTTTTAAACTTGTGCAATTTGGGCTTCCGGCTTTAATATACCATATGCGTGGTTAATAGAGAAAAAAAGACTGAATTTGATTATACGCCAGGCACCTTTCCCTCTATGTAGTATAGTATTAATCTGAAATGTTTTTCCGTTAGTATAGAGCTTTCTTTTCTACCCATACTCTGAGGAATTCTTTTCGGGCTTTTTGTGAAGTGATATGTATGAGTTTAGGTCTGCCAGTGTTGCCAATATAATAGCAGGGCGCTCTTTAAGAGAATCTGGACCTTCCTCCAATCTCCAATTCCGTGAAACCAGGAGATGCGACAACCACCCACCCACCATCACCACCAGCCATCCCACCCGCCATAGGCCCGCCACGACCAATCAGCCATCTCCAGCTCACACCACGCGGCTCCAACTTACAATACTGTACAGTATCGCACTCGCCTCACCTCTCTCGCCGTCACACCATCCTCTCACGCTCCTCCAGTTCAGTGAGCCATGCCAAGACTCCTCCAGTCGAGCCAACCATGCCAATTCCAGCACTGCCCCCTGGTCTGCCATAGATGCATTGCTTTTACGACGACCCGTGCATTTCTCTGGCCGTCCTAACAGTTTTCCCAACAGTGTAATGCAGGCGTAATTTGGTGCTTTACATGGTCAAGGCGAGTTTATGCGCGCGCTAGTTTACCGCCCCTCGCACCGCATGTATTGGGGCCCATGATAACGCCATGCGAGTGTTGAAACGTCGCAATAGGTAGATCTAACAGCACAATCTTTTGCGGTACCACTCTTCTAAGTTTATTGATATTCTTCTAACACTAGTTTTTCCGTGGCAACCACCATGGATGCGCGTAATCAGCAAAGCTTAGAAGCAAAATCACAGCCGTCCAGATTGACCGCCGCCACCTTAGCAGCCGCCGCCGCCACCGCCGGCAGCGGCGCGAGCGACGGCCGACCTTCCTCCACCATGCCTCGAACCGGCCAAGGCGGAAATTTTCCTAATTTCCCAATCGCGCTCGTCCTTAATCTCGCGGCGCTCCTGGAAAAACTCGACGAGGCGCTTCTACCAGCCGTGTACCGCTCCCTAGCGCCGTCTCTTAATCTCCACTATTCCGCGCCGGCTTTCTCCTTGGGAACCCTGGCGTTCTATAGATGCCTCGTGCAGGCGCTGGCAGCGCCACTTGCGGCGTATTTAGCGGAGCGGGGTGATCGCGTGGCGATAATCGGCGCGGGGGCGGTGGCGTGGGGCGTGGCGACTGCTGCTGTTGGCATGGCGTCGACCTACTGGGGGGTGAGCGCAGGGGGGAGAAGGGGGCGGAGAGGACGGGGAGGGGACGGGGAAGCGGTGGGGTAAAGAGGACGGGGCAGAGAAGTGAGGTCGTGCGGAAGAGGGTGAGAAGAGGCGCATAACGTGGTTTGGAACGACCTGCCCTGCATCCTGCATCCTGTCTTTCCTCCTCACCCCAAACCATCCTCCCCTCCATGCCGCACCACGCCCCCCTTCTCACTCCCACGCTTTTGAGAATTCCCAAATTGATTCCATAATTGCCTCCAGCTTCCATCTCCCCCCAATGCCAGCCAGCAGCCTTCTTGCAATCCCTCCCTCTCCTTCCCATCCCCCCTTTTCCCGCCCCTCTCTCCTTCCCTCGTACCCCACATCTTCACCCTCCCTCCCCTTCTCCACTCCTCCTCATACTCCCCTGCTTCCACTCGCCCCTCCCTCCCTCCCTCCCTCCCTCCCTCCCTCCCTCCCTCCCTCCCCCACTCCCCTCTCCCCCAGGTGGCCATAGCGCGCGCAGCGAGCGGCATCGGTCTCGCTCTCGTGCTGCCCTGCATCCAGTCCCTCCTCGCGGACCTCTCACCAGAGAACCACAGAGGCGCAGCCTTCGGTGTCTTCCAGGCGTCCTCCCACATGGGCTTGCTGCTGGGAGCCGTGGCCGCGTCTGCTCTCGCTGGCCGTGCTTTGCTAGGGCTGCCGGGGTGGCGGGCGGCGTTCCATCTCGTGGCTCTGCTGAGTGTTGCCTTCGGCCTGCTGCTGCTCTCCCTCTCCTCATTCTCCTCCTCCTCCTCCTCCTCCTCCTCCTCCTCCTCCTCTGTCTCCTCTGTTGCTTCCTCATCACCCTTCCCCTCCTCCTCCTCCTCCTCCCCCTCCGCCTCCTCACGCCCCTCCTCCTCCTTTGTCTCGTCTGCTTTGGGCCTGTTCTCCCGTCCCGCCCACATATCACACTCCGCCGCTGCCTCTGCCGCTGCCTCCTCTGCTTCCACGTCCCTCCCGGTCTTCGCTGTAGCAGCCCCTGCAACCGCTGCCCTCCCCGCTGCCAGCGGACGGAACACCCTTGAAGCATGGAGCGCTGCTGTTTCTAGGTGGGTGGGCAGGGAGAGGGTAACGGAGAGGGAGAGGGAGAGAGGCGGGGGAGAGAGGGGGGAGAGGTGGTGAAGAGAGGGAGAGAGGTGCCATCAACAGCAGGGAAGCACGGATGGATGGATGGCGAGTGTACGTTGCTCTTGAGATTTCCCAAAGGCGGTCAGTGTGCGGCGAGGGATGCAGGTGAAGGAGAAATGCAGCTCATTGTGCAAGTGAATAGTAACACTGCCTGCCCTCACATTCGCCTGGAGAAGTGACTGGAAGATAAGCCGTATTCCCCCCTCCTCCTCTCTCCCCTCCCCCCAACCTGAAGAGAGAACTTGCAAGGGGAAGTGACTGCTTGCCTCGCCTCAAAGAATTGCTTGGAAAATGAGCCGTATCTTCCCCCCCTGGTTTTTGAGAATTCTCAAAAATTAGCTCGTATCTTCCCCCCCTCTCACCAGGACTCTTTTTCTCGCCCTTTGTTCCTCCCATGGTGCTGCTCACCAGGCGTGTCTGATCCTTTCCACCCTCCACAATACCCCCTCCCCACAATACCATTACATCAGAGCCGATCCCACGCCTGGGGTGTGGAGGGACGAGCCTCTCTCCTCAGCTATGGGGGATCTGTGGCTGAAGCTGCGCCACGTGGCGTCCATCCGCACGTGCCAGCTCATCATGCTGCAGGGCGTGGTCAGCCAGGCCCCGTGGAGCGCGCTGCTCTTCCTGTCCATGTGGCTTGAGCTCATTGGCTTTGACCCATCGCGGGCAGCAGAGCTGGTGGGTGGGGTTGTGTGAGTGCGTGCATGTGGGTGTGCATACTTGAGTGTGTTAGGCTTTGCCGGTGCGCGCGTGTGTGTCATGTCATGTGAAGTTATGCTGCAGTTTCCTCATATGCTCCAATGCCTTGCACCCCCACCCAACCCAATGTACCCTCTGCTCCACCCACCGTACCCCCACACAATGCCACCCACCAGCACATGCCTCTCACCAAATCTCCGCCCTCCCACTCTCCCACCCCACCTCCACCCCACATTCCGCCAACACCCCTGCACTCACTCCCCAGGTATCCCTCCTCTCTCTGGGCTTTCTCCTGGGCTCTCTCACGTCCGGATGGGTGGGCGACAGAGCGTCACAGCACATCCCGCACCTGGGCCTGGGGCGCATTCTATGTGCCAACATCAGCACTGGCGCTGTCGTGCTGCTCTCTGCGCTGCTCCTCAACGTCTTCCCTCCCTCGCCTGCTGAAGCTGCCGCTTCTGCGGGTGCTGCTGCGCTGTCTGCTTCCTCTGGTTACTCTGCCTCCTCCTCTGTCTCCTCCTGGGGATTTCTGGTTCTGTGGGAATCAGCACCGCACGCCCTGCTCTTTTGCCTGATTGGATTCGCAGCCTCCTGGCCGCTTCCCTCCTGCAACCTTCCCATGCTCTCAGAGGTGAGGCAGCCGCATCTTGACTTTGAGTTGACTATTGCTAATGCGTTTTTTTTTTTAATCACGAGAAATGTCTGTAGGTGAAGCAGCTGAGCCTGCTTGTGAGAATCATGAGGCGGCGTTCTATACGATTTTCAATGGTGAGGTGAGTGAGGGAGCTGAATTGTGCGGTGACTTTTGACTCGACTCAAAAGGCAGCTGATTAGGTTGGGAACGGCATGGCTGAGCACAAGGTATAGCACAGCCCAGTCTGGTGTCATCCAGGCATTGCTGGTTATCAATGTAATCACATGCACAGGCACCTGTACACGCACCTGCACAAGCACCACACGCTGTGTTCCTTTGTCCTCTATCAGACGAATTTCTTATCAGACGAACCTTTAATCAGATTCAGGTTCGCCTCGTACCGTCCTGAACCGCATTGAACCACCTCATGTTTGGCCGACACAGCAGTGCATGTCTGATACGAGGTGCATACGAAAAGAGGTCCCGGAAACTACTTTGCACACCGCCCGGAACCCTCCCTCCCCCCTCCTCTCCCACCCTCCCCCCCCGAAGTGGTGCCGTCTCGCCTGCGCGCCACAGCCTATGCAGCAGACATGACTCACTGGCGCCTGTCAGCCGCGTTTGGAGGGCCAGCAGTGGGGCTGGCTGACTGGCCGCGTTTTAAGGTGCCAAAGGTGTGCCTAGAAAACATGATCCCCCTTCTTCCCCCTCCTGCCCTCTCCTTCCCTCAATAGGTGGTGCCATCTCGCCTGCGCACCACAGCCTATGCAGCAGACATGGCTCTAGGGCGTATGTCAGCTGCATTTGGAGGGCCAGCGGTGGGGCTAGCAGCTATCCACCTGTACGGATTCTCCACTGCTGCTGCTGCCGCCGCCATGGCTGGTCGCTCGGGGGTGGCCTTAGCTGCTGCCACTTCGGCTCTTGAAGCCTCTGGATCCGCATCCGCTGCTGCAGCAGCAGCAGCAGCAGGTGGGGGGGAAGCAGGGGAGGTAGGTGCTGGAGGGGGTTTACTGGGAGCAGGCGGGGCGAATTTTACAGGGCTAGCAGCAGCAGCAGCAGCAGCAGCTGTTGCTGCTGCTGCGAATGCAGAGGCGCTTGCCAAGGGCTTGTTTCTGGCGATCGCGGTTCCGTATGCGGTGAATGTGATGCTGATTGCTGCTTGCTTCTGGGCGTATCCCGAGGACCGGAAGCATGCGTCAGTGGCCAACTGGGTGGATGCCTCTAGTGGGGCTGGTGCAAGCAGTGCTGCTCGTGGTGGTGGTGCTGCTGCTGCTACTGCTGGTGCTGGGTCTGGTGGTGACGCTGATGTGACGAGGATGGAAGGCAGGAAGGCTGGCAAGGCAGGGAAGGGTGAGAAGGCAGACAAGGGGGAACATTTTGAGAGCTATGTGCATGACTCGAGTAACTTAGCTGAGCTGGGTATGGGTGGTGGTGGTAATACTCTGCAAGGGAGGCCAGAGAACAATCAACAACAGCTGGAGATGCAGCAACAGCAGAGGCCACTGGGGAAAATGGCACTTGAGCCTGAGTCAAATGAGACGGAGACAGAATCGAGACCATTATTACGACGTTCCCATGTGTAATCGGAATCCGAATCTCTAATTTATTATTGTTGTCTGCTGCTGGGGTATTGGATGGAGGCTGCGGTTCAATATTGCCGGTACATCATCACTTGAATTACCTAGTGAGAAAAGAGAATGTATATTTCCAATATGTGTCCAGATGCTATCTCAGCTACATCCCCTTCCTCCCCTTGCAGAATCAATCTGAGGGCCTGATTGGAGGGGAGCACACACCCCTCCCCTTTTTTTTTACAGCATTTTCAAAGCACTTTCAGGTGCTGCCGTAAATATGTGAGAATTTTCATGGTTATGGATGGGCTGGAATGCTACCGTAAACCCCTGTATAGGCCACCTCCAGTTGTAGACCCCCGGGTCTATAATAAGGGGGGGGGGGGGGGGGGGGGGGGGGGGGGGGGGGGGGGGGGGGGGGGTACTCTATTCGAGTATATCCGAGTTATACCCCCCTAAATGGCTCCTGACATTATAAGACCCCCCACATCCTAAAGAAATGCGAATTTTCAGCGAATGCAATGGAAAATTGTCATATTCCGTGTTCAGGTGGAGACATCACTGTCAAACTATATATGTGCTAGTTCTGTGTAGGCCCATATGGGGTACAACCCAATGTTAGGGTTAGTACTGTTGGGCTGAGAAAAGCTCTTAGGATCTTTTCAAGGCTAAACTCTGAGTAGAAGTGTTGTAGTTGCGGAAGCGTTTTAAAGCCCGCATGCAAAATAGTGACCCCCCCCTTCTGGTTGGGTCCACTAGAAAGCTCATGAAAATTTCCAGAAAGTTTGGTGCTTTTTTTCTGAACAGGGCAAGTCCCCAAGTAGTACGGTAACAAGACCGATTTGAAGTTGTTTCCGAATTCTGATACGATCAGTCGCAACTTGCACAGAATTGTCGCAAGCTTGCTATGACATTTCCACTTCTCCCACCCATCCAAATCCGCATCGAGCACAACACATCACAAATTTCACAACGGAACCTGCCACCACACACGTGTCAGAATGAGGAATGAGTGTTGCATTGATGTTGGTTGGGGTACATATGACAAACCCTAACTTCTGTACCCCCTAAGACAAACCTCACTACAGGCTACAACATTTGACACACCCCCATAGCCTAAGTGAGGGGTGTCTAGCAAAAACAAAAAGAGTACGGTCACAAGACCAGTCCAAAAGAAAACAAAGCTCAGGGTGGATCACAACGTCACCACACACTCTGAGCACAAGCAACAGTGGCCACAAGGCCAGTCCAAGAGATCACAAGTATATATAGTAAATGTACAGACGAAGCAGGCAATAAACTCAAGTCTACGCATGACTAGAACCTGTGTCAACAAGGCCTAACTGCACACAACACCTCTGGTGGTCACAAGGCGGAAGCGCCTTGGTGAAGATGTCTGCAGTGTTGGCCTCGGACTCTACGAACTCGAAGCGAGCCTGTCCACGCCTCTGCAACTCTCGCAGAAGAAAGTACCTGATGTGAATGTGCTTCACTCTGCTCTCCAGTCGCGGCTCACGACAGAGGAGGATCGACGCCTTGTTGTCAGTAAACAAGGTCGGTGCAGAGCTCGGCCGCTCACCAAGGTCAGTGAGCAAGAAGGTCAACCACCGCAACTCCTGTGCCGCCATGGCACCAGCGTAAATCTCAGCCTCAGCTGTAGAGGTCGAGACAGAAGAGGAGCGCGTGGAACGCCAGGAAACAGCTCCAGAACCCAGACTGAAACAGTACCCCTGAGTAGATCTGTGAGTCTCAGCGTCGTCAGCGTAAGAGGAGTCACAGTGACCAGTGAGTACGACAGACTGCTGCCCTCCAAGAACTAGCCCCACGCCTGATGTAGTCGCTAGGTACTTCGCCACCCTCACAGCTGCCGTCCAGTGAACAGGACGGTGTCTCCCTGGCGCAACAAAGCGCGCAAGGATGCTGAGAGGGAAGGCGAGGTCCGGGCGAGTACAAGTCATCAGGTACATGAGGCAACCCACAAGCTCTGCGTAGGGACCACTAGGCTCAAACGGCTCGTCAGGAAAGGGACCAGTGAGTCTGTGGTCAACAGCTAGAGGTGTGCGCTGTACGGTGGAGTGCTGAAGCCCGAACCGCTGAAGGACCTGCTGCACCATGTGTGACTGTGAGAGTGTAATGGTGCGAGCGGCTCTGTCCCTGGTGATCTGCAGGCCAAGGTAGTGGCGCAGTTCACCAAGATCAGTGCACGTGTGTCTCTTCTGCAGTTCGGACTTCACGTCTGCCAAAGCAACCCTGTCCGGAGTGGCGAAAACGAGGTCGTCGACGTAAACCAGAACAAAGAACGGTGTGGAGCCACGACGAACGAACAGCGACGGGTCGGCAGAAGACGGCTGGAACCCAAGGTCAGAGAGGGTAGAACGCAGAGTGTCGTGCCACTCACGAGGGGCCTGGCGAAGACCGTAAACAGGTCGCCTCAGCCTCCACTGGGTCCCAGGAGGGAAGGTGCCAGTGAAGGCCGAGGGACGACGCAACCAGACCTCCTCGTGTAGGCTGCCCTGAAGGAAAGCAGTGGAGAAGTCAAGAGAGTGTAACTCGTAGTCTCTCTGTGCTGCTACGTGTAGTAACACCCGAAGAGTGGTCATCTTCGGGGTAGGTGCGAAGGTCTGAAAGAAGTCAACTCCCTCGCGCTGACTGAAACCTCTAGCCACGTAGCGCGCCTTGAAGACCGGGGGAGATCCCGGTGGCCGCTTCACCCTGTAGATCCACATGCCGTCGACTACGTTCGCCCCCGGGGGGGGAACCTCATCGACGTAGGTGCCTGTGGATCTGTAGGAGGCCATCTCTGCGTCCATGGCAGCTCTCCACTGAGAGGCCCAAGGCCCTGACACTGCCTCAGCGTAAGTGCGAGGAGTCGGAATGTCAAGGGCGTCGGGGTCACCCTCAGGGGCGAGGAGCATGGCACAGAGATGAGGGGAAGCGGCCGCCAGGAACTCTAGCTCAAACTGCCTGTCCTCTAGGGCGTCACGGCCAAGGGCAGACACACCCCCGACGGCCAGAGGACTGGTAGGAGGAGCAGCCACAAGCGTGGTGGCGTAGTCAAGGCGGCGGGTAGAGGCAAAGTCAGTAACTGCGGCAGTAAGAGCGGACACAGAGGACACAGAGGCACGAGGGTGAGTAACAAGAGAGGCGAGAACACGAGAGAGAACAGGACGGTACGTGCGGTAGTAGTCAGTGACAGGAGTAGGGAGCGACACAGTGAGGGCCGACTCAGGAGGAGACGGAAGCACAGACTGAGACGGACGAGGTGGACTAGAAAGAAGGAAGGCAGTACGAAGGTCAGTGAAGGGAACAGGAGACGAGGGACGAGCACGAGGGGAGCGACGAGTAGCCCAAGAACGAGACGGAGGAGAAGAGGACAAGGGCGGAGAACTGGGGAAAACAGCGGGGGAGGAGTCAGGAGGAGGAAACGTGGGACCGTAGACAGGAGGAGAGGCGGAGGAGGGAGGAGAAGGGGAGGGGAGACCAAGGATCCGAAGACCCGAGACAGGAGGAGGAAGTGGCTGCTGCTGCTGCGGCTGCGACTGCTGCTGCTGCGGACGCGGCTGCTGCTGGGACTGCTGCTCCTGCGGGTCCAGCTGCTGCTGCTGCTCCTCCAGCCGCTGTAACTCCCTCTCCTCTCTCTCCAACGCCAGCTGATCGTCACGGGCACGGCGAACACGAGCCTGGTGCCTAGTCGGGTAGGGGTGGGGGGGCGGAGTAGTGTCCGAAGCAGCGGCAGCTCCAGAGTCCACTCCAGAAGAACTAGGCTCACCACCCCCAGAGGCAGCACTAACACCAGCTCCAGACCCAGGCTCACCTGAACCCAAAGGAGGCGCACCCTCACCCCCAGACGCAGCACCCCCAGTGTCCGCGCGGCCAGCACCAGCTCCCGGACGACAAGCGTCCTCTGCACCCACCTGGTCAGCTCCAACTCCAGAACCAGAAACTCCAGCTCCAACCCCAGCTCCAACTCCAGCACCCCCAGAACCAGAAACTCCAGTGCCAACTCCAGCTCCAACTCCAGCTCCAACTCCAGCTCTAACTCCAGCACCCCCAGAACCAGAAACCGGTACAGGAACAGGCGTCGCACCAACCTCTCGAGAGCTAGCACCAGCGGCACGCTGCGAGGAGGACTGTGGGGAGGGAGGCTGTACCGGAGGGGCTACCGAAGGAGGAGGGGTAGCCTGGGACACACCTGACGGGGCTGGACCAGGGGGGGGAGGCTGTACCGGGGGAGCAGGAGGGGGAACGGCAGTCAGGAAGAGGGGGGGAGGAGGAACCGGGAGACCTCGACTGGGGTACCTGACGTAGTACGGAGTGGACTCCTCGAAACGGACGTCACGGGAGTCAAAGAACCGGTGAGAGGGAGGGTGGTAAAAGGTGAAGTCAGAGGAGTCCTCAGGGAAACCAAGGAAGACACAGGGGACGGCACGAGGCGAGAGCTTGTCCGCGGAGGTGTCGCGGACAAGAGCCAAGCACCCCCAGACACGAAACTGCGACGCAACACCAGGGAACCCTGTCCAAAGACTGGTCGGTGAAACCTCTGGTCGAGAGACACGTGGCCAGAGGTTCAGCTGGTGCACGGCGTACCTGACCGCGTAGGGCCACAGAAAATGGGGGGCACAGGCGTGAGTCAGGGAGGTGCGGGCGATCTCCATGACCAGGCCTATGCGGCGCTCAGCAACCCCATTCTGCTGTGGGGACTCTGGAAGCGTCCAGGACTGACGAATGCCCTGCTCGCGACAGAATCCAGCGAGAATGCCGGAGCGAAACTCACCCCCACGGTCGGAGTGGAGACAGCTGACACGACGACCACGAGTGTCCTCGGTGGTGAGCAACCACCTGATCAGCGTAGAAGTCACCTCAGACTTCTTCGCCAGAGGGAACACTGTGGTGTAGCGGGAGAAGTCGTCAACGACCACCAGAAAGTAACGCTCACGCTCAGGGCCTAGACGAGGGGCTGGGCCCCAGACGTCCAAGTGAAGCGTCTCAAAAGGCTCGGTGGCCGGACGAAGGGAGGAGGAGTGAGGGGTGGCGCGCAGCCTACCCTCGACGCAGGGACGACACGGCGGCGCAGGCGAAGGCGGCAGCGACGGCAAGACACGTGGGAGGCCTAGGACAAGACGCTGACTAGACATAGCGCGCAGACGTGGAAGGGACGGGTGCCCCATCCGGTGGTGCCACAGAACGGTGGGGTGGGCAAGCGACCGGCAGGAGCACGACGCAGCGACTGGAACAGACGGAGGAACCTGACACGACACAGACACCTGGGGGGACGTAGCAACCTGGTGAGACGCGGGGACCCGAACGGGGGGGGGAACCGGGGGCAGTGGCAGTAGGGGGGGCTGCTGGTGCGGCCGCTGGTGCTGCTGCTGCTGCTGCTGCTGCGGCTGCGGCTGCTGCTGCTGCTGCGGCTGCTGCTGCGGCGCACGCGGGCCAGTGTGAAGAGTGTAGAGACCCGAGCCCGGCTCAGCAGTAAAGGTAGCAAGAGGCTGGTAAGAGTCTCCGTCAACACACACCGCAGTCTCTCCAGAAGGCTCAAACCACACACCCACGTGCTGGCTCACGAGGGGTCGCACGCCCACCAAGTTCCGGGAGAACGAGGGGACGTGAAACCCAGTGAGAGACCCGGAGGGAGCAGCAGGACACGGTAAAGTGGTAGTGTGACGTGCAGTGACTGGTCCCGTAGTGGGATCAGCCAACGCTACAGAAACAGGCGCAGGAAGTGGTGTAAGTGTCGTGCTGTCCCGAAAGAAGCAGTGGGAGGCTCCAGAGTCCAGTGTGAACGACAGCGAAGCGTCCTCTGAGGTAGTCGCTGGTCTAGAGTCTACACAAGTACCTACACTAGCAACAGGCAACTCAGCAAGACTAGCACCTAAGCTAACAACACCAGAGTAAACAGAGTCAGAAACACTAGAGTCAACAACAGCATACATAGCATGAGGAGCACTAATCAGATCAACTAACTGCTCAGCAGACATGCCCCACAGAGCGGAGCCGTAGCGCTGAACCAGAGGAAGCCAGTCAGGAGCAGGACCGCCAACCCCGTAGGTCAACCGGACCGTGTCAGTGAGCTGAGCAAAGCACTGACCAGGGGGGTGAAAGCGGCCACAAGGGTGGCCCCGACGAGGACCTGTCTGAACCTGGTAGGGGCAGGGAGGGTAAGCAGCACCGCGCTGGGGCTGACGCAGCCCCGACCCCGGAGCCAGCTGCTGACGCTGCTGCTGCTGAGGCTGCTGGGAGGAAAGGGGCTGCTGCTGCTGCTGAAGGTGCTGCTGACGCTGAGCCTGGTACCACGCCGCTGCTCCACCTAGCGGGGCCGACAGTACAGGAGGCGACTGACGAGCTCGAGGGTCGCTGCCACCAGCAGGTGCAGTGGAGTCACCGGCCGCTGCACGAGGGGTCTCTCCAGACGCTGCACTCCCACCACCGCCAGTCGCAACAGCACCCCCACTACCTCCGCTACCTCCGCCTCCACCTCCACCGGAACCACCTTTCTTGCCCCCCCTGCCGCGGGACCGCGACGCAGTCGTAACAGCAGCCGCAGTCGCGTCAGTAGCGGCAGTGGCAAGAGAGGCAGTGAAGGTGGGTAACTGCGGGACTGTGCACCCGTGGAAGAGTGGGGGGGATACAGTACCAGAGGCGGCAGCTACCGAACGAAGGTTGCTCTCGACATCCTTGAGTGCAGACTCAAGGACCTCGATAGTCAGCTCACTAGGGTGCTTCAGCAGAAGCGCGTCACGAACGGAGGCAAGGCGGTCAGGGAGGCTAGTGGCGATGAAATAGACAGTAATCGCCATGGGGGGAGGAAGCAGTGCAAGCTGTGCCTCAGTGCAAGCAGCGCGGTAACTAGCGTCAAGCGAGCGGAGGTGAGCGATCAAGTCAGCAGAGCGCTCAAACGAGGCAAGATCAGGAAACAGGAACGGGAGGAAAAGACGGCCGAGAGAGACAGTAGCGGGAGTAGAGTAGCGGGCCTTAATCGCAGTGAGGTACGCAGCAGCGGTGCGAACCTGAGTAAAGTGGACCTCCTCGGACTCAGGGAGGAGGCTGCTGAGTGCGATGCAGGCCGCAGCGTCACGCGACGTCCAAGCCGTCCGGTCAGCGCGCTGACGGGCAAAGCGAGCCGTAGCAGCATCGTCAGGAGCAGGGCCTAAAGCTGTAGGCTCGGGGGGCTCGGGGAGGTCACCAGTAGCGTGTGACCAGAGGGTCTCGCCCCCCTGGACCTGACTCTCTAACAGACGACGAGCGCGAAGAAGCCAGACGGAAAAGTCAAGGGGTCTACCGTCGGCGTCGAAACGAAGAACTCGCGGAGTCGCCATAGTGAGAACGAACAGGCGAGTAACAACCGGGGGGGGAAGAGGACTCAGTCGCAGCGGAAGAGTGGGCTAGGACGACGGGCCAAGACGTAGGGTAGGGCAACGGGCCAGGGCCTAGGGTAGGGCGACGGGCCAGGGCCTAGGAAGGGCGACAGGCCAGGGCCTAGGGAGGGCGACGCGACGGGGGAAAGGTCAGGGCGACGCGACGGGGCAGGGCGACGCGACGGGACAGGGCGACGCGACGGGGCAGGGCGGCGCGACGGAGCAGGGCGACGGGACAGGGCAGGGCGACGCGACGGGGTAGGGCGACGCGACGGGACAGGGCGACGGGACAGGGCAGGGCGACGCGACGGGACAGGGCAGGGCGACGCGACGGGACAGGGCGACGCGACGGGACAGGGCGACGGGACAGGGCGACGGGACAGGGCGACGCGACGGGACAGGGCGACGGGACGGGGGGGGGTAACAGGCAGGCGCGACGCGACGGGGGGAACGGGCGCGACGCGACGGGGGGGAACGGGCGCGACGCGACAGGGGGAACGGGCGCGACGCGACGGGGGGAACGGGCGCGACGCGACGGGGGGAACGGGCGCGACGTGACAGGGGGAACGGGCGTGACGCGACGGGGGGGGAACAGGCGTGACGCGACGGGGGAGATGACGCTAGGCTCGGTACTAGGCGCGGTAACTACGAAACTGGTACGAACGAGAGGTAGGATCAGGCTCGGGAGGTACGAACGGAGAACGGAGGAACGGGATCCCACAGGATCCTAACCTAGCTGATACCATGTCAGAATGAGGAATGAGTGTTGCATTGATGTTGGTTGGGGTACATATGACAAACCCTAACTTCTGTACCCCCTAAGCATACACACAATGTTGAGCTAACTAACAACAGAGTGATGCAAGTAGCAAACAGAAGAACGACAAGGTGACTCGAGAGGAGAGGGGCCGACGGGAATTAGAACGGTAAGGGAGGGGGTATAGCGAGGGCGATTTACCGTACAATGGGGGAGATCGCGGGCGACGGAAAATGGAGTAGATCGCGTAGGCGACTGCAAATAGGGGATCGCTATGAGATCGCGTGGGAGATAGCGAGCGCGACGGGGAGAGGGGGGAGAAACAGCGAGCGCGACGGAGTGAAGGGGGGAGATAGCGACGGCGCGGAACGTGATGGGAGATAGCGACGGCGCGAGACGTGCTTGCTAGCTTAAATTATGTCGCGAGACGTGATCGGAGGGGAGGCCATGAGCGCGAAGGCGATGCGAAGACAGGTGCACGTGAGCGCGATGGTGACGGGAGGGCGGAACGTGAGCGCGATGCCGATGGGAGGGGAGGACGTGAGCGATAGGAGATGAAGTGGGGAAGGAGAAAGGCGACGGGAGGGAGAGCGATAAGGCGATGGGAGGGAGAGCGGACAGGCGACGGGAGAGAGAGCGCGAAGGCGAAGGTAGGGAGGGCGGACAGGCAACGGGAGGGAGAGCGCGAAGCAGACGGGAGGGAGGGCGCCGACGGGAGGGAGAGCGCGAAGGCGAGGGGAGGGGGAGCGGACAGGCGACGGGAGAGAGAGCGCGAAGGCGAAGGGAGGGAGGGCGGACAGGCAACGGGAGGGAGAGCGCGAAGGAGACGGGAGGGAGGGCGGACAGGCAACGGGAGGGAGAGCGCGAAGGAGACGGGAGGGAGGGCGCGAAGCCGACGGGAGGGAGAGCACGAAGGCGACGGGAGAGAGAGCACGAAGGCGAGGGGAGGAGGAGCGGACAGGCGACGGGAGAGAGAGCGCGAAGGTGAAGGGAGGGACGGGGGTTCAGGCAACGGGAGGGAGAGCGCGAAGGAGACGGGAGGGAGGGCGGACAGGCAACGGGAGGGAGAGCGCGAAAGAGACGGGAGGGAGGGCGCGAAGCCGACGGGAGGGAGAGCACGAAGGCGACGGGAGAGAGAGCACGAAGGCGAGGGCGGGGGGAGCGGACAGGCGACGGGAGAGAGAGCGGACAGGCGACGGGAGGGGGAAGGGATATCGCGAGGGAAAAGGGGGACATCGAAGGCAACGTGAGGGAAGGGAGATAGTGAGGGCGACGGGAAGGAAGAGGGGACATCGAAGGCGAGGGGCGGGAGAACGGGAAGGCGACGGGATCGGAGGGAAATCGCGAGGGCGAGAGGACAAGAGGGGTGAACGGGAGAATAACAGACCAGGAGGGGAGACCGTGACGACGACGGGAGGGCCGTTACGCGTGTGTTTGCGAGGGCGATGGAAAGGCGACGGGACGGACTAGAGAGCGAGGCGACGGGCAAATTGATTGAGACAGGAAACTGGCACTGCGCTACCAGGCCATGTAAACCTACATTTCACACTCTTGCTAAGTCGACGATTGACGCACTCGTCGGTAAATACGTGGCTATGACACGAACGCCTGTGCTTTCAGCTATACTACTTACTATGCTATGCGGAAACTAGTGATGAATGGAGTGACAGAAATCTAGTAATGCACCCATCACCAGCTTGAAAATGAGGTTGGGCCTGCGATGGGAAACCATCGCCTGGGTTTGTCGTGCGGATGTTCATTTTGGCGGGAACCATTACGTTCCATTGTGGCGAGAGCCAATAACATGAGTTCACTCTGCCCATACAAATCGTTTGAAACAGTGTTTTTGATACTGGTTTCATCCTCACTTGCAACTCCTCATTCAAGTTGGGACGGGGGTCACTATGTTGCATGCGGGCTTCAATGACAAGTGTTGAATCACCTTGCGCTAGTGTGTGAGGGCAAGATAGATTGATTATAGAAAAAGTAATACAGGCTTTTTATAAGATTACAAGGAATATGAAAGGGTGCAACTAATAACTGCTTTACTGTTGTTGTTGCGGTTCGATACAGTGACGACTCGGGCAACTGCTCAGTATCGATTCAGTTGTTTGTCCTTGCTGTCGCGCTGTATTTGTCAAGTCAAAGGTCCCTGACCTTTGACCTTCGCGTAACCTCTAGCAGTTTGTCAACCTCTGATGGTTGACTCGCCGTTGCTTCGTTGCTATTTGCTTCGTTTACAGTTCAATGTTTCGACACATCAGAAGCGTTAAGTTACTTGTTTCCAACACTCCCCTTCGCTTCCGGAGTGTCGCTGTTGGTGACGTGGCTTTGTCAAGTCAACAGCATGCAGTACTCAAACTTCTGCTTTCCAAGCTTCTTGGTCAAATAGTCGGCTGCCATCTCGGTCGTGGGACAGTAAGATTTCTCAAGTCTCCCCTTCTCGATCTCCTCTTTTACGAAGAAGTATCGCAGGGCGATATGCTTCGTCCGGTTCGCGAACCCGTTCTTGTTTGCTATGCGAATTGCGGATTGGTTGTCGCAGAACAGAGTGAAGCTGGATAACTGAGCCAACTTCGCTTCTTCCAGCAGTTCGCGAAGGTACAAGCCTTCCTTGGTGGCTGAGCAGAGTGCAATATATTTTGCTTTAGCTGAGGAGAGAGCGCTTAGTCCTGCTTGCTCGACTGCCACGAGATAGGCCCGATAGGTTCGAGTCGGTAGATGTAGCCGGTGTGTGAGCGCCTATTGTCTGCGCCGCCGGCGTGGTCAGCGTCTACATACCCGATTAGCTTAGGTGTCGAGGTTCCGTTTCTGTGGTAGGTCAGACCGATTGTTGGAGTGCTGACGAGGTAGTGGAGTGCGCGGTCGAGTTCCGCCATGTGCTCTGCTTCAGGTTTATTGAGGTAGGTGGCGAGCTGGCTTGCCGAATATGACAGGTCTGGTCGGCAGGTGACGGCTGCGAATAGTAGACATCCTAGCTTTCGCTGATAGTCGCGTATGCCGGCAGACTTGAGTGGTGCGGAGATTCCTTCGTGGCTTGCTGAGGTGTAGCGTTACGGTGTGGAGATAGCGGTTGGAGTTAATCCGAAGCGTTTGGTGACGGTGTCGGCGTATTTTGCGGCGCTGAGATAGATCGCATTCTCTTCTTCCTGTATGTTGAGCTCGAGGTATTGTGTCACGGTGGATGAGACGGTGAGCGTTAAGTCCCGCTGCAGCTCCCCTTCGAACCTGGTTGTGACGCTGTCGGTCGAGCCGATGTAAAGTAGATCGTCCACGTAGACAATCAGCAGGATGTAGTCAGTTCCTTTCGTGAGCCGGTACATTCCTTGATCGTGCGGCAGTTGTCGGAATCCGATGCAGATTAGCCGCGCGTGTAGGTACTGATGCCACAGTCTCGGGGCTTGTTTGATGCCGTATAGGGACTTCAGTAGTTGATAGACTTGGTTGGGATCTGCATTGGAGCCGTGCGGTTGCTCGACGAAGATTTTGGCATCGACGGGTGCGTAGAGAAATGCGTTGGCGACGTCGATTTGATGAAGCTTTTTCCGCTTCATGGCGGCTATCGCGAGGAGAATCCACAGTGAGGTGTGCTGACTAACAGGTGCGAATGTTTCGGTGAAGTCTCGTCCGTGCTCTTGGTCGAAGCCACGTACAACCCAACGTGCCTTGAATTTGTCGATGGTTCTGTCTGCCCTTGTTTTCACCCGAAAAACCCATTTGCCGGTGAGGATGATCTTGTTCCGTGCCACACCGATAGGTATGACCTTCCAGGTGTTGCGTTCTTCGAGTGCCTTTAACTCCCTGTCCATGGCCTCGCGCCATTTTTCCCTGTGCTCCCCCCCCAGAGCCTGCTGAACTGTGGCAGGCTCTTTAGGTGGCGCCGTGCCGTGGACTGCGGTGACGAGTCCGAGTATCTGGAGTCCACTCTGTGTGTAGCGGGGAAGATTTGCGTCCTCGGGATAAGCTGCTTCGTCTCCCGCTTCTGGATTAGGTAAGAGATTGGGCCCTATGCGGTCTGCTTTGTCGGTGTTGACTTGCGCGGGTGTAACGTAACCATTGTCAGCGAGGTCGTAGAAGACTTCGGCGTTGATGTTTTCGCGAGGATTGTCATCATCTATTGGGATGTCCATCGAGCAGTAGGGAAGAGGTCCGGCTTCTTCCGAAGCTCTGTCCACGTTCTGCTCATCCTAGTCAGCTTCATCTGCTACCAAAGCGAAGGCATGGTCCCCACGAAATCCGCCTGTGACGTCCCGTGAGGTTTCCAAGTTGTACAGGTACGTCGGAAGAATGAGACGTTCGTAGAAGATCACGTCACGTGCCGCTACTGTTTCCTTTGTGTGGACGTCGAAGATCTTCCATGCGTTGTAGTGTTTTTCGATGCCCAAATGTACCCCCCACTGTGCGCGTTGGGAGAAGCGACCTGCTCGTGCAGCTGGGGGTCGGTGCTGTACCATGCAACCGAACACTCGTAACATTTTTGTGTTGCCCAATTTTCCTGTCGACAGCAGATGCGGTGATGCGTTGTTCGGGTGCGATGATGACGAAAGCAAGTTGTGCAGCATGACAGCATGGTCCATTGCCTCAAGCCACTTATGGTTACGTAGCCGCATGCCACGTAGTAGTTTGCGTATGGTGTTATGGAGGGTCCTATTCATTCTTTCTGCCACGCCTTGCTATTGGTGAGCGTAGGGAAGGGAGAGGAGTCGCTTGATGCTTCTCTCTGCCAAGTACTGCGTGAACCTCTGTGACGTATATTCCCCTCCCCCGTCTGACTGGAACCTTTTCAGCTTCACTCCTGATTCTCGTTCTGCTACTGGAAGCCAGGCGTCGAAAGCTTCGAAGGCCATGTCGCGACTCGAGAGGTTAAGTTGCCATACGTATCGTGTGGCGGCGTCGATGAAAGTGATGACGTAGTTGTATGCTCCTTGACCAGGTTCACGGTTGTACAGTATGTCGCTGTATACTTTCTCCAGAGGTGTGTATGCCTGCGCACTTGGGTTGTGGTGAGAGACGAAAGGCTGATACGGTAAGTCGACTTCAGGGCAGGTGAGGCATGTTCCTCGAACTCGTTGAAGTTCTCTGCCGTTGGGTAGGAGTAGCGAGTCTTTATCAAGTACTCCTGCTCTTATCGTGTTATTTAACGTCGTGTTGCTCGGGTGTCCCATTCTTGCGTGCCAGATGTCTTCGCCGACGCGATGTCCGGGTGAGCGCTTGTACAAGTCGGAGTTGGAGTAAAAACCGGCGGTGAAGTTGGCGCTTCTGTGGAGTTCTCGTGGAGTAAGAGTCAACTGCTGCGCAAGAGTCAGTGGAGTATCGTCGATTGGGGAAGGTGCCGTTGAAGGACCCGCGATTGGTGTCGTGATTGGTGTTGTCTCTGCTGCTGCCAATATTGTCTCTGCTACTGTCGATGTTCTCTCTGCTGCTGCCGATGTTGTCTCTGCTGCTGCTGATGTTGTCTCTGCTTGTTGGATTGTCACTAATGCTCGTGTTCGTTCTGCCTCAGGTACGGTGTTCGAGTACCAGAAGCCGCCGGGGCTGAAGTCGGGGTCGAGATCCGGCGGATGTGTCGAAGGAGCGAAGGTGACGATCCCGTTGCTGTCGGCCGTGCCTTGATCTGGAACGAAGTCGAGAACGAAGACATTATTCTTCAGTACTGCCTTGCCGATGTAGAGACCTCCTTTCCCGTGGTACAACTTAAACTCCTATGTGGTGCTGTCTGCTTCGAGGTGGATGCCTTTCGCCATCAACCGGCTGACGCTAAGTAAGTTGTAGCCGAGTCCCTCCGTGATTAAAACCTTTTACATTTGTGGTATGACGTTGGTTTCTCTTGACTGAAGTTGAACGATGCCTTGCCGTCGTGTGCGCAGGTTCTGATTATTGGCGACTGTGATGACTACTTCGCATTGAAGTTGGTTCCCGTTGGACAAAGCGACCGGAGGAGCACATGTGCTGTTCGCAGCAGCTGTCCAAGAACCAGGTGTCTTTTCAGGACGGTTTGCTCTGGGCGATGGCTGCGTATGTCGGGTTCAGCTCCAGTGACTCGCGGCGAGGGGTGCTTTCATTGAGTTGTTCGTCCGGTGAGTAGTACGGTGGTGATTCAGTGATGCAGGATTTTGTCAATCTCACCATGCAGCTCACGATGTTTCTTGTCCCTTGTGCAGGTTGCGTTGTCGACGTTGTTGAAGTTTGAACTTGAGGAGTGGGATGCGCTTGCGTTGAGGCGACTTGGCTGCTTGAAGGCCGAAGTTGTCGTTGCGGTGGTGTTGACTGCTCTCGATTTGGGGAGTGTGTATGAGGGTGTCTAGACGTCTTGCAGAGATGACAGAACGGTAGTACGTGCTGTTGCTGTTGCTGTTTATTCTGCCGGTTGGAGTTGTTGAAGCGCCGTTAGGTGTGGAATGCAAATTCGGGTACTAACGTTTTCCTCTTGTGCCGCTCCTCGTGCAGGTCCATGTCTTGTTGTTCAGCGTATATTTCGGAGTACGTGCAGAGTGTCGCTTCGGAGATCTTCCCGTGAGCTCGGAGTATGGCTCGAGTGGAGCGCCAATGAGGACCAAGGCCGGAGATGACGACTGTGATGAAGGCTTCTTCAGATATCGATCCTCCGCATCGAAGGAGTTTGTCGCGCAATTCGCGACAACGGCTGATATACGCCATCCCTTTTTCGTCGGGTTTCATTTCCACCGTTGTCAACTGTGCCATTAACCGACTCTGATTGACACTGTCTGTTGCTTGGTACAGGTTCTTCAAGTAGTTGTACGCGAGCTCGGCGGAGTTGCCGTATC